AGGCTCACATGCTCCTGTCCCACTGACGGTCCAACCCCAGACCCGTCCCACCAGTCACGGACGACAGCCCGACACCCTCCCTATGGACACGCCACAGACGGTCCAACCCCAGAACCGTACCCCAACCCACCCTCGACCGTCACCTACTCCTCCCCAAAACACACAACCGGTTAACCGACCCCCGCCCCAAAACACACACACCATGCAAACCCGAGCCAAATCTGGAATTTTCAAACCTAAAGCCTATACCATTACCACCCTTGATACTACCCCACCTACTACTGAGCCTAGCACTTACCGCCAAGCCTCTGGTAATAGTTTTTGGTGTCAGGCTATGGATGAAGAGTTTATTGCTTTGAATGAGCAACGTACATGGGACTTAGTTCCACCACCCAAGAACCGCACTCCGATTGGTTGCAAATGGGTGCATCGCATTAAATGGAATGCTGATGGATCTGTTTCAAGGTATAAGGCTCGTCTTGTCGCAAAAGGTTATCATCAGGAGTATGACATTGATTACAAGGAGACATTCAGTCTTGTGGTCAAGCAACAAACAGTGCGCCTGGTCCTCTCTTTAGCACTCAACCGTGATTGACCTCTTCATCAACTAGATGTTAGCAATGCTTTTCTTCACGGTACAGTGGACAAGGAAATTTATATGGAGCAGCCCCCGGGGTACATAAATCCCACTCATCCTCACTATGTTTGCAAGCTCCGGAAATCACTATATGGTCTCAAATAGGCACCCCGTGCATGGTACACACGCCTCTCCTCTTTTTTGCAGGCACCCCGTGCATGGTTGGAATGTCAAAGTTGTATGTTGGAAGAAAAAGGAAGGATTTGAAAAAAACTAGAAGAAGTTGGAAGAAATTGTAGTTAGAAAATGTTGGAAGAATTAAAGTGTTTAAAAACTTATTCAATTAAATAATCATTCAAATAAGTATGTAAAAAAATTCTAATTTTCGATAAAAAAGAATTGATCATTTTTCGTGTTTGAGGTGATATGTTATAAATTTAGATAAATAATGTTATTGTATATTCATCATATAAAAATATTTTTTTAAGTCATTATTGAAAAAAAAAACTAGAAGAACTTGAAAAAAGTTAGAAGAAACTAGAAAGAAGAATAGAGAGAAATTTTTTAAATGCACAGAGTTATTTCAAATTAAACGGTTAAATGATTGAGTAAATCATCTTTCCTATATATAATGAATTATTAGCATACAAAAAGACATTTTAGGAAAAAAAGAAAAAGGAAAGATTAAGTCGAGTGTGTATTAGTAAAAGTTGAGGTGACAATATCTCTACCCAAATGGCAACATTGCTTCACTATATTTAACTATTTAAATCTCTATCTATATGTCAACATACATTACTAGTTTATGGGCCTGTTTGGGAATAGCGTTAGCGATTAGCGTTAGCATTTTGAAAAGGCCATCAACGGGTAGCGTTTAGCGTTAGTGTTTTCAAAGTAATCTGCACCGTTAAGATTTTATCCAAAACGCTAACGCTAATCTCTAACGATAATCCTTAAACAGGCCTTATAGAAGATGAAACACTTCTGAGTTCTGACCATATATTTTATTTTTTCAATAGAGAAGGAAAATGTAAAACATATTTTGGAACATACAAAAGTGTAAAATACTCCATATGCAATTTTATTTTGAAATAGCAAATTACATTTCTCTTAAGTAATGTAAGTAAAACATATTTTTTTCCCAAAATAAAAGTGATATGTTTCTATCTTTAAAATAGGACAAAGAAAATTTAATAATGTGACATTATAAATTGATATCCGGTAATATATTTTAATATTATATATTAATATCATTGACAATATGGTTTCTGATTTGCATCTTAATTCTCAACTATGGGTGCCTCAAAGTTATTGAATCATTATATGGGCTAAGATGATCGTAAGTGGGAACACAAATAGCGGGCCATAAAACAAAAGCGCCCCTCGGAAGGCTAAGCCCAGATTCTCTTTAACAACATATAAGTGTAAATGGTTATTTTTAAACCGATATGTCTCAAACATTTTTTTTTGTATGACATTTCTCTCACCATTGTTATACCGTGAAAATTGTTTTTGCATAATCCGGCTTATGTCATAATCAGGGTTATTATATGTGAAAATCGTTTTTGCATAAGTTATCTATAGGCTTAGGTGAATATAATAAAGAATGTATCTAGGCCCCCGACTTGTAAAATATATATTTCTTCTGTCTCGATTTTTTTTCTCACTTTTCATCTATTACTTAATACACTTTACTTTTAATTATTATTTTTTGTTTCCATACAAACTACTCCTTCGGTCCTAATTTATAGTATCTGTTTCAGTTTAATAAAAAAAAGAAGTATTTAGATGAAAGCGAAAAAATGAAAGATGAATTGTTTTTCCAAACGGATGGAGTACTTTTTTTAATACCATCTCATTAAATAATACTCCCTTCGTCCCTGAGTGTTTGTCCACTTTCATTTTTACACACCATCCAATGCACTTCTTTAATCCATTTTATCTTGTAATTTGTATATTAAAAAATTATAAAAATTATATATTAATAATCTATATGTTAAGACGAATCAAACAAGATCACACATAACTATTTTTAGCCTTACACATTGAGAGAATTTGATAAGTCAAAGTGCTTAGATTAACAGTTCCAAAAGTCAAAAGTGGACAAACACTCAGAGACGTACCAAGTATTGTATTTTTGCATCTTGTTTTGTAGATTTTTTATGTAGGTTTTTACTATTTATTTTTTTAATTATACACCTACATCAAATACATTGAATCAAGAATAAAGGGGAAAAAAACTAAACTACGATTAACATAAATGTACCAAAATATGAGTTATATGCTTTTGTACCAAAATATGAGTTATACAATGCCAATTATGTCAATGTATAATATCAACATATTTTGTTAAATATCTATATACAGTATCATATCATCTAATGTAAATTTTTATTTTATAAATAAAAATATGAATATCTTATTTTGATATTCTCTACTATATATATATTTTTATTCTTATTCAGGATGATTTTTTTTATAAATAAAGTCGTGCAAACGGAAAAAACGAAGAAGAGGAATATTGTAAAGTTACCCGCTCTCCGTACATCATAGTAGGGACTATATTATTTTGATAAATGCTCAGACCAAAAATTATCTTTCTATTCACTATTTACAAAGTTAAACATTGTTTACTTTATTTGTTTCTTTGTTATTCATTTGATAAAATTATATAGTTATATCACATATAATTTTGTAGATCTATTGATGTAGTTTTAACCTATGTAATTTTATTTTTTAAATTTAGCATTATTTTTCATATAAAATAATTTGAAATAACTTTAATAAAATGATTTGAATAATTAATTTGTGATGGTGTACTTTGTTGTAAATATGTGCATATACTAATGGCATTTAATCCACGTTCCTCCATTTCATAATTCCGAGCACGCGCTTCCTGCCTTCCTCCTCTCTCCACCGTCTCCCGCCGCCCTTCCGCCACGAGCCGTATCCAACTCAGCGGGTAAGTAAACAATTTTTGCACGCAACAATACCGAAATAACGATATTCCACGATGCCGGAAGGCGAGCGGCCGAGGCAGAGTAGAGCTTCGACGAGCAGAGAAACGCGCGTGTCGTTGAAGTTACTGTTCCGAGTCGCCTCGATCGCCGGCGGGATACAATTCGGGTGGGCTTTACAGCTGTCTCTGCTCACGCCATACGTGCAGGAGCTCGGAATCCCTCACGCTTGGGCCAGCATCATCTGGCTTTGCGGCCCGCTTTCCGGCCTGTTCGTTCAGCCGCTGGTCGGACTCGTCAGCGACCGATGCACGAGCCGGTTCGGCCGCCGCCGCCCGTTCATCCTCGGCGGCGCAATCTCCATCATGATCTCCGTTCTCATAATCGGTTTCTCCGCCGATATAGGCTGGCTCTTCGGCGATCGCGGCAAGGTTAAGGTACGCGCCATCGCCGCCTTCGTGGTAGGGTTTTGGATTCTCGATGTTGCCAATAACGTGACTCAAGGCCCTTGCAGAGCGCTCCTCGCCGATCTTACCAGTACGCTTCTAAATTTACTCAATTGCCCTTTATTTATCTACTCCTACTATATATGCATTTATTTATTACGGAGTAATTAATTAATGATTTGGAAACATATGTGCATCTGGTACCAAATAATACCGAAAAATCGCTAGCACAACAATAACATTGGTATTGGTTTGTTCGAAAGGGCCAAAAAGGTTCGTCTTCTTGTGAAATTCCATATTCGGATTTCAGTAGGTATTTTTTACTTTCGGGAGGAAGAAGATGAAGGTCGTAATCGCCGGCCATTTTTTCCAGTACTGTAATTATTGGTGAGTATAGATTTGCGCAATCGAGGGGTCAAGGGTATCAATTTGCCTTGGCATATGAGTAACGCCACATCGTTGATCATTCTTGAAAGTGACGAATGTACCCCTAAAATATGTTCTAATTACGACCTGAAACACACGTAATAGTGTTTGTTTGAAGAGAGAAAATGGGAGAATAGATAACATAGAGTCCAGATTATTTTCTCTCCTTTGGTTAGAGAAAAAATAAAAGAGAAAAAATGGTGGGACCCACTCAAAAACTTCTCTCCACATCTGGGAAGAAAATGAGTGGAAGTATGTAAGTCAAGTATACTTAGTCCAATTTTGGAGTGTGATACTTGGAATCTTTGGAGTATTTATTTCTTGGAAACTAGATTTAACATACTACACACTATAAAACTAAGGGCCTATTTAAAGAGCCAAAAGGAAACGAAGTATGAGTTTTGATGTTTCAGAATATCAAAACTTTTCATGGGTGTTTAATGAAGACTAATATCTCCAAATATCAAAATTCTCCCAAATTTGGCATCTCCCAAATTTTTGGGGTTATCAACCCAGGGGTTTGATATCAATAGTCGATCCCCCCTCTTATTGGCTTTCACCATTTTCGTCCACTCGTCGCCGATCACCCCTACCAATCTCTTAAAATAATGTTATTTTAGATGCTAGAACCCATATCTTTTGTTCCTAGATTTCGGAACTCTTATCATATCAATCCTCCAAAACTCGCCAAACGGGACCTAATAGATTTCAATCGAAATAAATCTACCTAAATAAGACTAAATCATGTAATTTATACCAAAATAAGACCCTCTATGTTTTTATCTCCAAACTAGAATCGTTGGCACTGTTAAACAGCACAATTTGGCACTTTGTATTGCATTTCACAATATATTTTAGCATTATGTATTGGTGCTATTTGGCATTATTTATCCTATGGAGTATTTTGGTATTAAAATATTGAGGGTCTGTGTGGTGAGTTTTCTATGACTGATATGATATAAGTTCTGAAATTTAGAAGAAATGATATTAGTTCTGAATTCTGAAATAGAAGTATTTGGGGAGATATTAAATGATTGTTGTTAGTGATCGCCCGGATGACTGGCAATGAGTGTTGTTGGTGGCTCGTGGGCGATAATGGTGGAACATGGCTTTAATTAGGTTGTTCATTTAATTTAATTAAAAAAACATTAGCCTTCTGATAAAAGCATTGGCTAGTTTTTTTGGGGCCCACACATTGGCTAAATTATTAGATATATTGTACTCCTAATTAACACAAAACTGCTATGAGTAATTCTTTTTATAAAAGCATCCGTTTGTGTGAGTATGCTATACTTTATTTTTCATATTTATTTATGTTTTAGTTATCAATTTACTAATTTAATAAATATAAGCACAATGATGAGGTGATAACCACGCTCCTGGTGTGTAAACCTTGGTGTTTAAGCCATCACTCGCCAAACAGGAAACACCATGACAACCTCTCAATGTGGTTTGCTGCAGATAGATATTTGCAACACAGTCCGAGCACATGATAAAATGGGTTCGAAAACAATACAACGTCAACTTGTTCCCAAACCTAATATTTGCTACTTCGCAAACCCACACGAAACATTTAAGCACTCAGTTTGTCATTCGTAGTTTTGTATAATTAGTGGACAATATAGGTTGTGAATAGTTAACTGGTTATAAAATGTCAAATATTCAGCAGTCTGTGATTGGTTTCCTATCAAACGTTCAGCTGTGTGTTCGCATTATTTATACATATTTCAAACATTTACTGGTTGCATTAGAGCATGGACTACTCTCAATAGTTATACAATTGCCAAGTATACAAGGAAAGAATGATGTCTTTAATTTGTATTTTTAAAAAGAGACATTTTTTAATCTTAATGTTGATTCTGAAAAGCACTATATTTAGTGATGAGCTAGGATGATTTCTAAAATGAAGTGAATTCCAAATATATCATGGGGGAGTATGATTTTATAAAGCTCAATATGAAAATCGAAATCACCTGCCCTGTTTTGGCCAAACTTCACACCAAGTAGAAAGGGTGACTGTTTCTTAAATCAGCAAAATCGCCTCAGAAATGCAAACCAACACACCTCCCAAATGCTGACATTGATAAAGATGTCCATAATAACAAAGCATGTGATTTGGGATTCACCTTTAAAAATTGACATTTGTTGCCTTTATCATATGTCTTAGAGAAGGATCATCGAAGGACTCGCGTAGCAAATGCATACTTCTCATTGTTTATGGCTGCTGGCAACATACTTGGTTATGCAACTGGATCTTTCAGTGGCTGGTATAAGATATTTCCTTTCACCCTAAGTGATGCTTGCGCCGTCAACTGTGCAAACCTTAAGACTGCTTTCCTTCTTGACATCATTTTCATTGCAATTGCAACATTTATAAGCTTATCAGCAGTCAAAGAGCAGCCTCTGGATTCCCATTGTGGTTCTGTTCAAACCGGTGAAGATAGTGAACAAATCACCCATGGCCAGGAAGAAGCTTTTCTCTGGGAACTTTTTGGGACATTTAAATACTTTCCTGCTACTGTGTGGGTTATTCTGCTTGTCACTACTCTGACTTGGATTGCCTGGTTCCCATTTACCCTATTTGATACTGATTGGGTGGGTCGTGAAATATATGGGGGTGAGCCAAATGGAACAAATTATAGTAATGGAGTTAGAATGGGGACACTGGGTCTAATGCTGAATTCTGTGGTGCTGGGAATAACTTCAGTGTTTATGGAAAAGCTTTGTGGAAAATGGGGTGCTGGTTTTGCATGGGGAGTATCTAACATTGTCTTGTCCCTGTGCTTCATAGCAATGCTTGTAATCACTGCCATCAGAAACCACATGGATATTGGCAGTAATGATCATCCTCCAAATGGCATTGTTATTGCTGTGATGATAGTATTCACTATTCTTGGTGTGCCTCTATCTGTAAGTGTTCACATTCTTCCTTCTGTTTTTGCATTATGTGACGTTTTATTGAACTGTAAAATGCTGATTGCAGCTACAAAAATTACATTTGAGATTATCCACATGTTTAGTCAATTTGATTTTGCCTGTTAGATCTACAATCACACGCTCCTCTCTTACAGTTTATGCATTTCATTACACCCGTCTCCATCCATCTGTAAATGTAGGTATACTTGGATAAAGACGACTTTAAGTTATTTTTTTATTTCACTCTTTTAATAATTACATGGATTTCTTGTTTAAAGCCTAAAGCAAAAACGCAATTATGATAATTTAAAAAGTTGGTGTACAAAACAAGCAAATATAAAAGTTGGTTTGACCTGTGAATAGTATTGATGGTATACATTGACTTGTCATGAATGGGATTTGAGCAACGACCTCAGCCCTAGGCTCTGGTGTATTCAACATTTCAACCATAGGAATGGATGACAACATGTGATATCTTCTCATACTTTGGGATTTCCATGTTCAAGTGTTTGTTAATAAAGTAGCAGTGTGGTCTTGGTATGCAAATTAGTTAAGTGCATGGGTTTCGTACTCGTTTTGTATAGTCAATCTATACCTCCCAGTTGGAGGGGGTTTAACTCCATTTTACAATTTACACGTAATGTTCTCTTGTTAGATTTCTACTCTCTATATTGTTAGTCTCCCATAGACATCAATTATATAGGTATAAAGTTAGATGAAGGGAGTAGTTATGCGTGGCAGAAAAATTCTATGATCTTATGAATGTGTTATGGACTGAAACCATTGCAAGGTATGGGACTTGTCCCACATCGGTTGTATGGGCAATTGATGTGGGGTTTATAGGCCAAATGAGTTCCCTCACCTATCAGACTAGTCTTTTGGGTTGAGTTCTTCCGTTTGGTCTATAACAGTGGTATTAGAGCCAACCTCGGAGTGGTGGCCTGGAGAGAGCCAGCCGTGACCAACGTGGCCGTGACCAACGAGGACGTTGGTCCTTAAGGAGGGGCGAATGTTATGGACTGAAACCATTGCAAGGTATGGGACTTGTCCCACATCGGTTGTATGGGCAATTGATGTGGGGTTTATAGGCCAAATGAGTTCCCTCACCTATCTGACTAGTCTTTTGGGTTGAGTTCTTCCGTTTGGTCTGTAACAGAATGGTTATATGACTTCTATCTGATTCGTGAGAAGATAGAATTCATGAATGAAAATTGGACTGAGATATATACCTGGACATATCTCTGCGCACTCACACTTACAAACATGAGTCCGGATACTTATCTTTGTTTCCTTAATTTTTTGGAGAACCTTTTATTGAATTTAAACAATTTTTTTGCAGATAACTTACAGTGTTCCATATGCATTGATATCTTCACACATTGAGAACTTGGGTCTTGGCCAAGGTTGGTTGCATTGCGAGTTTCTTCCAAATTTGCAATTTCTGCTGTTGGGAACTAGTGAATAAACACCTTTACATACCATGCAGGACTATCAATGGGGGTACTAAATCTGGCAATTGTTGTACCTCAGGTGCCTTAATTATATTAGCTCATATTTATTTATGATACCACATCTTGACTTTCTTTTCCATGCTTCAAGAAATACCTTATACTAATCTTATAGTGTTGCTCCTGGCAAAATCATGTACTTTTCCAAAATTTTGTATCATTTTCGCCCAATTCAGATTCTTGCGAGGAAAATTTGCTAATATTTGTAAAGTCGTAATGTACTACCTACTCTCTTTGTCCCAAAACTAAAGTCATATTTCCATAATTGACGTCCCAAAACTAAAGTCCCATTTCTATTTTTTTACCTTAACCCTTAAAAATACTATATTACCCTACTTTTTCCAACCATTTTTTTCTACCACCCCCATTTATTTTTCATCTTCATTAAACACATTAAACTCTCTCACACTATCATTTCAAGGGCAGAATTGGAAGGTCAAACACAATTAAATTGACCTTATTTTGTGTGAAGCCCAAGTGGGACTTTAGTTTTATGAGATGGAGGTATTATCTAAAAACTGAACTTAGTGAAGAAAACTGTTCCCATGGAGTTGTTGACTTGCTGCTATCGTACCTGAAAATAAACTAATGAAGATCTCTGTGCATAAAAGAATCTGTCAGTAAGATATGGAGTATTCAAAAAACATCTTATGAACTTCAAGACCCTTCATGTGAGCATGGCCATGCTGTTTTTTTCCCATTTCCGTGGCAGCTAAAACACGTGGCTCTTTACTTCTATAATGTTGCATCCAACTATCTTTCTTCACAATTTACAGGCACATATATACCCATGCCATTAAAATTTACCTATTGTTTACCATCTCTGCATTATGGAAACATAGAGTTTTCTTCTCTCTCAAATGAAGTTAATTTACATGATATATTCTGGGTGTATACTATGAGTCTTAGTGTATAAAGCTAAATGAATATATTCAGTCCATATTTGATGATTATTTAACGCTAGTTGAATATATTCAATTCAAATTTGATGACTTTATAAGGATAATTGAATACATTAATTTTGAATTCGATGGTGCTTAATATTACGGTTCTGTATTTTGAGTTTAATTCAAAAAATATTTTCTGGACATGCAATTAATATTGAAAAACATCTGTTCTTTATTTGATTTTCTGAGTAGTATATCTGGAGTACATTCTAATAGAATTGTTTCCTTCTTTAATTATTGCTTCTGAGATGGTTTCCTTTCATTTCACAATGTTGTGCTTGAAATCAGATATTGGTTTCCGTTGGTAGTGGACCCTGGGATGAGCTATTTGGTGGAGGCAATTCACCTGCCTTTTTTGTGGCAGCACTCTCTGCATTTGCCGCTGGACTGGTGGCCATCTTGGCTATTCCCCGAACCAGAGTCCACAAGCAGAGGAGTCTTCCTTGAGGTATTGACATTGCTTTCATGTTTTCCAATATCGACTGCGCATTTGTGTGTTCCCCCAAGAAAAATCCATTTTCGTTTCAATTGACATAAAATTTGGTGTATCGACTCATTTTCCATTCTTTATTAGCTACTATAGATTTCACCCGTTTCTATATTGAGGTGTTAATATGGGATTGTTCAAATTGTGCCCTAGGTTTTTTGTCTTATTGGGTTAAGTCAATAATGTACTGATATTTTTTGGGGTATTCGGATTTATGGTGGATTCCTTTGAATACACAATGGAAATAAAAGAAACATGGTTCCGAACGAAAACAATAACAAATCTTCTTAATGACGACAGGTGCTAGTGAAATTAAAAGGCAAACATACTCAGTTTCAAAAGGTCTTTACACTTAAGTGTGGCTGCATAATCTTCACCCAAGTCATTAGGGTGCTGGGCTGGCTTATGCGAGTGGAGTCGTATCCCGTTGCTCAATCAAAGAGCTGAAAGGATCACGCGTTTATGGTTGAGGTATTTTTGTCATATATTCATTTTGTTTCACTATCCCACTCAAGAACATACAAGCAAAGGCTTTTGTAAATAAGGTGTCACCTCATTTGCTATACCTAGATGAGCTTCGTATGAAACATATGCTTCATGCATGGCTCTCTCTCATTCGTTTAGCTAGGTTCCTCTGTCATTTCCTTTTGCTGGCAATGCACTTTAAATACTAGAGCTTCTATACACACACCCAAACTACAAACATTCACAGTAGCAATTGTCTCAATATTTCAATGTAATGATGGTTGGTCATTGTAATATTTCAAGTCCCGAAAAACTACGGTGAGCATGTTTGTCTGCATTTTTCCCTACTTCACCCATAGATTTTCTTTGCCTTATACCTCTAGCAAAGTAGCCAACCCGGTCACATAATCAATCAAAATTGCATGGTTTTCACTATAAAAGTGTTAGAGTATATAAAAGCCATTCTTGGACCACAATCACAAGCTTGAGCTTGGTTGAGTTGGTTTATTGACTTGGTATCAGAGCCTTGATGACCAAAAGATCACGAATTCGAATCTTACTGCCACCTAATTTAAAAAATAGGGTTTCTCGTGCAAGGCTCAAAGAAGTCACACCTGCACGTGAGAGGACGTTTTAAAGTTTATAAAAATCGTTCCTGGGTCACAATCACAAGTTTGAGCTTGTGGTTGAGTTGGTTCTTTGACAAAAAGCACTAGTGGTTTATTTGTTCAATTTTACATGAATATGGAGGGATATGGTTGGTACTAACTTATAATGGACATGGTTGCATGGCATTGGTTCAGTTTCCAACATCCTAATATTTGTTTCCTTTTATTTCCCCACGTGTGTGATGGATGAAGAATTCCAGTTCATATTTTTGAATTTGTACAATTTTAAAAGATGTTTTTATCAAAAAGGATGAACTTGGTCCCTCAAAACCTGAGAGGACATAAATTAGACATAAATTAGACATTATAAATTGGTGACAAAGAGTGGAATTTGCACTTTGTACTTGTAGAGACCTCTTATCAAAGTTGCCTCTCAGTGTAATTATCAGGAATCAAACTCGAGTATTACCTCTGGACCCCTTTGCCTTACAAACTGTACCACAGAAAAAAATATTTCCATTAATTCAAGAGTTGTTTTCATGACAGTAGTGAACTGTAAATATGTATAGTACATATAGAAAGGGGGGGACAGGAACACAAACATAGATGAGATCTTCCTTCTTCATTCATAGAGCTTCTCTTGCAGGGGCCGACAAGAATGCCGACATTTTCAAAATGTCACTGGACCTGAACCAATAATCGGACCCGGCCGGCCACTACTACAATCATCCGGCCCACATTCTTCACATGCGTTTGCCCTCACCCCTCTTTTTTTTCACTTTTCAACCGAAGTACGAGTGTCACTTTATAGAAGACGGACACTCCCTTTACCCCCCGTGATTAACCCCTTGTTTAAAAAGAGGTAAAATAAGAGTGGAAAGCAAAACAAAGGGTTGGGGATAGAGAGGTGAGTGAATGTATTGTGTTTGGAGAGGTGAAGGAAAAATAAGGAGAAAAATGTCTCATTGTTTTCCTTCACCGCTTTTTCCTCTTGAATTGAGAGGAATGCTTAGATAGTAATTAATTTTACATATACCCTATTTATTAGGAGGTAAAATAAATTTATTTTCTTTTCTCTCTAAAATATCCAAACAAGAGAAAAGTAGGTTTATTTTCTTCTTCCAAATATTTACAATTTTATTTTCTTTGATCCCTATTTTAAATAAAATTTATACATTAAAAAATTATATCAACTATTTTATAAAATAGGAGACACAAGTGGTAACACAACTATGTTACTTTAACTGATAATTAATGAAAATAAGTATTAAAAATAATACAAAGTAAAATATTTGACGCATGTTTAACAATAAACATATACAATATACAGAGTACTATATATAGGCTTGGTGACTAAGCGTTATGTAAAACAGTCTTATGTTTTTAAAATGTTAACGCTAATCTCTAAAATTATTTACACACAGACCCTAGAAATGTAGACAGAAACACTAGGGTTGGAGTTTTGCGCCATGGCCCATGGGTATTTGCTGTGTGGAGACCAATACATTTGGGCCTTGTAGAATGTTATTCCATTACCATTCAATTATAAGCTCTCACACAATCTAGAGTTATACTCCCTCCGTCCCTAAATAGATTTTTTTTTTCTCTCCTCTCGATAACTTTTGTTTGTTTACGTAATTTCATTAAGTATTTGATAAAATTAAATATTCTTATCACCTCTTGTTTTGTAAAACTTTTGACTTAGTTTTTTAATATGTAATTTTTATATCTTATTGATATACCAATTTGTAAATAAAATGATTTTAAAAAATCGAAAATTTTACTCCGTAACCCGCAATTTGTAATCAAATTGGGGACGGAGGGAGTACTAAAAAATAGTACTCTTCTATCCCTGAGCGTTTCTTCATTTTTGGTCAAAATTGTTAAATTTTGATCATATTAAATGAAATTGATATTAGATATTGATACAAATATAGTTTTATTTGATTTATTATACTCCGCATAATTAATATAATGTATACATGTTACGGAGTATTTAATTATAGTTCAGAGATTGAAAATAGTTGACTAAAAAAAGTCAAAACTGGACAAATGTTCAGGGGCAGAGGTAGTATTCAATATTTGTGGGGATGTAAAAAATAGATTAGTAGGCAAAGAGTCTGCACTTAGTACTTGTAGAGGCATTATGCTTCAGTTGCTAGAAATCGAACTGAGATCTTATTCCTTAGACCTCGTGCCTTGTCAACTACGCAACGCCCACTGGCGTGGCGATGTATAAATAGTACTTCATCCGTCCCAAATTATAATGTCTGTTCACTATTCACATGGTCAAACTTCATTCACTTTCTTTTTCTATTTTCGTTAGCAATTTGATAAAATAAAATATTGTTGTCACTACTAGTTTTGTAGATCTTTTGATGTTGTATTTTGATATGTAATTTTTATTTTTTAACTCTATACCATTTGTCATATAAAATGATTTGAAAATAAATTCAGTCAAACATCGTAAAAACGAAACAGGCATTATAAAATGGGATGGAGAGAGTAATAGGGAGGGAGTATAAAATTTGCTTACATTACATTCTTATGGTGGGGCCTTTCCTCGGACAGTGTCGTGGGATGCTTTGTGCACAACAATGCTCTTTCTATAGATAGTATACAAACAACCAACGAGCTAATTTAAAGTAAAGGTCACTTGTCACATTTGTAGCATTTTGAACCAAAATAAAGTAGTTTCATTTTGTTTTATTACTCATAAAATAGTAAGTACTACGTAAATAGGCTATTTTCTATTTTGCAATTAATAAAATGCCTAGTATGTATCTATGTATGGTAAAACATTTTACACCTATCTGAGTTATAATGTCACTAAGACTAGACATAGAATATATCGATACCGTTTTATCTTTATATCATGCATTTTTTTGGGTATATTTAAAATACTCTGGCAAGTGTTAAGGTACAGTTGTCTCTATGGACACATGTAATTTAAGTTACTTTATTAGTACTTCGTTTAAAACAAGATTTTCATGTTCTCATTGATCTCAAGCATCCATTTTGAGATGGCAATTAATGGTTTCATATCGTTTATGCATTTCACTTTTATTTTAACACATAAAAAAGAATCTCCTTTTAAAATTAAAGTGCAATATATAGGAGGGGTTCTGTAAAAGGTCAACGATGTATTCTGATACGTAATTAAATGTAAGTATCATGATTAACTCATTTGTAATTACACTAGGACATAAGATATTTACTATAGAGTACTACCTTCACCAAACTTAATTTTGATATCATATACTGAGTATGTTAAGACAATTAGATTAGTTCCTTCACTAAACTACACTATTTTATGTTAGAGTACTACCATAATCTTACTTTGAAATAGTAATGTTCACGTGCAAGGTTCGTGCAAAAAATATTTACGTGCAAGATCCGTGCGAAAGTAAATCTTGGATGCACACAAAAGGTGTATTATAGTATAAAGGTACAACATAATCGTGTCTGTGGACAAATGCGAATGTAAATATTATATCGTGATACACTCTCACACCAATGTAGTGAAGATTATTATTCCATTTGAAAATTAATATTAATTTGTTGAGATAATCTTGTTTCAAAACTGGATGTAACGGTTGTATGCTTTAATGTTTTCAATCAAAATCAAACACTAATTATCCGGTTGTCCCATCTTTTTGAGATAGTGACTCTAATCGTGTCACTTTATACATTTTACGGAGTACTTTTGTTTTAACAATAAAAATAATCTTCATTTAACTTCAGTCAGTGTGCGGCTTTTAATTCAAGGGATTACATTATTTTCGAGATTCTTTTGAATGTAATTAAGTTTTACTATTAAAGACAAAGAAATGCCTTAATTGTGTTGAGAAGAATGTGAGTATTTCAAGTTGATAAACATAATGTAAATAAACAAATGATATAAAAATTTGATATATGTTATATGAAAATTATAGTTCAAGATGAGTCTAATTATGTTGAATTTATATTATAATTAAATACTCCCTCCGTTCTCAAAAACACATCTTCCTTCATTTTTTCACTTCCAACAAAACGCTTCCCCTTTCTATTAAAAAACCACTTTTATCCTTACTTTTTCATACCCTACCTATCACATCATACTTTTTTCCTAATAATAAATCCATCACATCTTACTTTTACCCATCACATCATGGGCAAAATTGGAAGTCAACTATAATTTTACACTTCCTTATTTTGCCTTATAGTCAAAGTGGGAAGGCTTTTTCCAAACGGAGGGAGTATATTTTTCTCGTAATATATGGTTAAAGAATGTCACTATTTGACCAAAAGAGGTTAAAACAGGAAAAAATTTTAAGACTGGAGGAAGTATAATATTATAATCGTTAATCTTCTATTAATGTAATTTAAACAACTCTTTAATGTGTGAAGCTAAACATCATATCATTTCTGTAACAAATACACCCTCAAATAAATATGAGGAATTTACGTGAAAAGCACCAAAACATAATGAGTTTCCCTAAATAGCACTGCATGTGCTTGTTTCCTCAATATAGCACTTTTAGTCATTATCCATTAGTCATTATTCAAGTAAATGATCGTCACCACTGGTCATTATAGACATTATTAAATGTTATTTAAGGAATAAAAGCACTCAGGCTAATAAATTAAAAATAGCTAATGCAATATTCATCCGTATAAAAAAGAAATGCCTAGTTTGTCAATATAACTATTAATAAAGTATAACATTATATATGTAATTGATAATTTGAAATCGAGTAAAGTGCATTGTTTACCCCCGTACTCTTTGGAAATTGCATGTTTTACCCTTGAACTATAAAAATTGCACCGTTTACCCTCGAACTCCTTGAAAATTGCACGATTTACCCCTGCATACTAAAAAATGCACCAAATACCCTTGAACAAATTAAACCGTTGCATCGTTGGTCCTACACTATTAGATAGGGAGTGCGTTGCTTCCACGCACAACAATTACGAATATGATTTATCTGACCCTTGTGATTTTTTCAAAGTACCTTTCCCCAAAATTGTCTTCTTTATTTAAATGTTCAGGAGTAAACAGTACAATTTTCGTAGAGTTTAGGGATATTTGGTGCAATTTTTAATGTTCAGGGGTAAAGCGTGCAATTACTAAAGAATTCAGCGGTATTTGGTGTACTTTTTAATGTTCGAGGGTAAACCGTGCAATTTTCAAAGATTTCAAGAGTAAACGGTGCACTTTTCTCATTTGAAATCTAAGGTCTAAAAAATATGGTGCATCTAAGAACTAAAAAATATTTGTGAACTTTCTCACATAAACATCTACAGAGTATTTTTTTATAAATTTAAAATACACATCTCAACAATAAAAATTTGCTAAATGAAAAATTCTTACGTGATCCTATGATTCATACTCGTTTTATAGACTTCAATGTATTGATATCATCTAAGAATTTAGCCTTTTTTTAAAAAATCAATTGCCACCCCATAAAGAGTAAGAGAAAGTTCACTATTTACACGTGTACCTTACAATCACGGAAGAACTTTTGCATAATAGTCTTTTTCCAAATAAGTCATGGAGGGATTGCGAGTAAAAAGAACTTTATTTTCTTAATTTATACTGATTTTATTTGAAAATTCGTAACAAAAAAGCCAAAGTATGGTAGATGTCCTTTACTATCTAGTAATGTTCGGATTAGTCCCTCTATTCGAAATCGAAGTGATTTAGTCCATGTACTATTCTTTTTGGTTGAATAACTCCTTTCACGTTTGTCATAATTGTCATCCCAAATTTTTCACCATTACATGTAATTTTACTATAGATGGCATGAAACTGTTATATTGACATTTTAATTCAAAAGACACTAATGGCATGTTCTTTTAAATTGGAAAATTAACTTCCAATTTTTTTGACTACTTTCACTTTCTTCACTTCCTTCGAGTTTTATATAACTCTTTCAAGTTTTTCGACAACAATTAAAAAAAAAGTATTTACATATCATATATCTAAATCTAAAACATGTTGATCATCTAAAACACGGGTAAAGATGAATTCTTTTTTATCCAAAATTAATTTTTTTTAAATGTTGTATTTATTTGGATGACCATTCAATTAAATGATTTTTAAACACTTTATTTTTTCTACCATTTTCTAACTGCTTCTAGTTTTTTTGAATTTTTTTCTCAGTTTTTTCTAATTTCTTAGAGTTTCTTCTAAGATCCAACTTTAGAATTCAACCCGAAAATAAGACACCCTAAAGCAGTATATATATTTGTGTGTGATGTCTGCACATTTCACAAATTGTTGCACCACAAATACATAAATATTTGAAATTCAAACCCCTCCATCATTTTATTTCATACCATAAAAAGAAAGGCACCTAGTTTTCATATAGTTCTATACCTACAAATCCATGGATTCTCTTCCTGATGATCTTCAAGAGCAACTACTTCTTCAAAGATGGCCTACTTTCACAGAGGTATATATATAAATAGAGCTTACTAAAAAAAGTTTTTTTGTAGTAAATTTATACTATGGTGTAGTAATTTCCAAGTAATTATTTGTTGCATAAAATCAATTTCCAGGCCATTGAAGAAGTGAAGGCCATTGGCAAGATCTCAGGCCCAACAGCTCTAACAGGGCTGCTTCTATACTCAAGAGCTTTCACCTCCATGCTCTTCCTCGGCCGCCTCGGAAGCCTCGAGCTCGCCGCCGGCTCTCTCTCCGTGGGCTTCGCCAACATCACCGGCTACTCGGTCCTCACGGGCCTCGCCTTGGGAATGGAGCCCATTTGCGGCCAGGCCCACGGCGCCAAGCAGACGGCGCTGCTGGGCCTGACCTTGCAGAGGACCGTCCTCCTCCTCCTGTCGGCCGCCGTCCCCATCTCATTCCTGTGGCTCAACATGTACAGGATCCTCCTCTGGTGTGGCCAGGACGAGAAGATCTCGGCAGTCGCCGGGAACTTCATCGTCATGGCCATCCCAGACCTCTATGTACTCTCTCTCCTGCATCCTCTGAGGATTTTCCTCAGGATGCAGGGCGTCACTCTCCCAGTGACGTCCTGCTCTGCCGCATCTGTCATCCTCCACATCCCTTTGAACATCCTCCTCGTCCGCCACCTCAAAATGGGGGTGGCCGGAGTTGCCGTAGCCATGGTCTTGACCAACCTCAACCTCTTCATCTTTCTCTCCTTTTGTATCTACTTGTCTGAAAAGTACAGAGACTGTTTTTGCCACGTGGCTGTAAGCAGGGAGTGTTTTAAGGGTTGGTCAACGTTGTTGACCATGGCAGTCCCCACGTGCGTGTCCGTGTGTCTCGAGTGGTGGTGGTACGAGCTGATGGTGATGTTGTGTGGACTTTTGGTCAACCCTAGAGCCACACTTTCGTCCATGGGGATCTTGATCCAAACGACGTCGTTTCTCTACATATTCCCCTCGGCCCTCGGCCTCGGGGTGTCGACCAGGGTGGGGAACGAGCTGGGCGCCAGCCGCCCGGCCCGGGCCCGCACCTCCACGATCGTCTCGATGGTGTGGGCGTTCGGGCTGGGCGCGGCGGCCATAGCGTTCACCACCCTGATGAGACACCAGTGGGCGGGCATCTTCACCGCGGACGTGGAGGTTCTCGAGCTGACGGCCGCCGCGCTGCCGATTGTCGGGCTCTGCGAGCTCGGCAACTGCCCGCAGACGACCGGGTGCGGGGTCCTCAGGGGGACCGCGAGGCCGGCCGTCGGGGCGAACATAAACCTCGGCTCGTTCTACGCGGTGGGGATGCCGGTGGCGGTGGTCTTGGGCTTCGCGACGAAGATGGGCTTCGCGGGGCTGTGGCTGGGCCTGCTGGCGGCGGAGGCGTCCTGCGCCGCCCTCATGCTCATCGTGCTGTGGAGAACTGACTGGAAAGTTCAAGTGGAAAGAGCTAAACAATTAACAAATCAGTCTTCATCGTCCTCTTCATCATCAACGCTTGATGATGATCATCCTATTATGATGAACACAGGAGAAAAAGAGGTCTTGGAAATGGTGGCGAAGCCGCAGGAAAGTGTTCCTCTGATTTGCAGTGATATATAGATGAATGGTTGAATTGCTTGTTTTTCAATATGAATAATGTTATGTGTTGTAATGAATTCCAGATCAGATGTGTATCATCATGCATTATATTCATGCATCATCATCATCATCATTATTATTAAAAGTTTTGAGACAGTTAATTAATTAATTAATTAATGTAATAATAATGTGTTATTATTATTTGTATGGGTATGTCTTCTCATGTGAGTTATTAGTTTGTCATTTTATTAATCTCGTTGTGTAGTGCGTGGTGCAACACATGTTTTTTGACGCCACAACTTAACTTTTCTTGTGTAATCATATACTGGGTACTTTGTAATTCATGATGTTAAGTTTTTGGTCTTGTTAACATTGGCCAAACGAATCTGAAAAATTAATCTCAAATGGGACATAAACGGAGGTGATTTTTCTAAGATTTGTTTTTTAAATGTTACATTAATATTTAAATAATGTTCATGCCAATTAAGCCAATTAGATTAGTTCCTTCACTAAACAACACTATTTTATGTTACAGCATGTACTACCATAATCTTATTTTAAAATAGTAATGTTCACGTGCAAGGTTCGTGCAAAAAATATTTACGTGCAAGATCCGTGCGAAAGTAAATCTTGGATGCACACAAAAGGTGTATTATAGTATAGAGGTACAACTTAACCGTGCCTATGGACAAATATGAATGTAAACATCATATCGAGATACTTTGTCACACAAATGTAGTGAAGATTAGTACACAGTTTGAAAATAAATATCATTTTGTTGAGATAATCTTCTTTCAAAATTTGAAGTACTCCGTAACATTTGTATGGTTTAATGTTTTCAAGAAAAATCAAACACTAAAAATAACAATAGTATGTAACTAATAGTGTCGCTTTTTACATTTTACTTTTGTTTTAACAATAAAAACAATCTTCATTTAACTTCAATCTCTATGCGGCTTTTAATTCATCATCAGTGGATAGGGGATGACGTTATTTTCGAGATTCTTCTGAATGTAATTAAATTTTACTATTAAATTAAAGACAAAGAAATGCCGCATTTGTGTTGAGAAGAATGTGATGAGTATTTCAATTTGATCAACCATGATTCAATTCACATATATAATGCATGTGATGCAAGTTTCACATTTGTACAGTGTAGAAACTAAACATATATACTTGATGAACCCTAGATAAGTGCATCATCTATCTAAACACCTACTCCCACTCGTCTTCAAAATGTTTCTTGTTTTGACTTTTTTAGTCAATCAATGATATTTTTTTAGCATGAACTAAAAATAATCTAAATAAACAAATGATATAAAAATTTGATATATGATATATCAAAACTATATTGTAATAAGATGAATTCAATTATGTTGAATTTATATTATAATTAAATATATTTTTTTCATAATAAGTGGTCAAAGAATGTCATTGTTTGACCTAAAAAGGTCAGGGAATTTTTTTAAGATGGGATTGTTAATCTTCTATTAATGTAATAATGTGTTACTCCCTATTATTGTTTGTATGGGTATGTCTTCTCATGTGATTTATTAGTTTGTCATTTTATTAATCTCGTTTTGTAGTGCGTGGTGCAACACATGTTTTTTGACGCCACAACTTAACTTTTCTTGCTGGGTACTTTGTAATTCATGATGTTAATTTTTTGGTCTTGTTACCATTGGCCAAACAAATCTTAAAAATTAATCTAAAATGGGACATAAACGGAGGTGATTTTTCTAAGATTTGTTTTTTACATGTTACATTATTAATATTTAAATAAAACATTTTGAAATGATATCCGTCAAATATCATAAGTTGTTTGGCCAAATTAACTGCCGCAAACAAAAGAAAAAAGACCTGCAAAAATCTTTGGAGTACACCAAATTTTGGATAGATTATGAATAAGACATGTGTAGTAATGAAAGGATTGATGTAAAACATGGGGTAGCCCAAGCATTAACCAAAAACTTAAACATGTGATGCAATAAATTAAATTCATTAAAAAGTAGTGAAAAATGTACTCCGTAGAAAATATTGTTTCTATCTCAAAATTATTGTCTCACTCACTATTTGAAAGTCAAACCATACTATATGTTGGTGATTTAATTGTGATTGATTATTTTGTGTGATTAAATTTACTTAAATCAGACAAGAATTTGAATAGATGTTGTCAAACGAGTTAGGAGGCGCGAAGTGCGCACTTGTTCAATGATATTACGGATTCATAGTGGGGTCTAGGGGCGGTAGCCCCGAATAGTGGGATCCAAGCTAGGAGAAAAATTTATTCTTAATTAACGTCTTATCCGATTAAATTATTTTGGTATACCCCAATTTGAACTATCAAGTCGTAATTCCCATTCTTCATTTACTGATTCTTGAACGCTGCTTCGCAGTGTTCATCCTCTATAATTTCTAACGCGGTATATTTCAACATTTCAGTGAATCATCCTTTAAAAAATTGTAAAAATCCGAAAGGGGACAATAAATTTGGGACGAGCTGAGGGCGGGGGGCCATGCATGCACGTAGACGTGGGAAAGCCACGTGTTTTAGATACAACATATATAATGCATAGCTCCCTCGTAACAAAATTCAATTCCATGCTCCCCGCTATCAAGCTAGATGGCTTTGTATGTAGGTCTGTCTCCAATTATTCTCTCTTCTCTAAATTAAAGTGAAAAAACTCTCTTTGGATAAGACTCATGAGAGTCAAGAGGGTAAGAGAATACTAAAATCGGAATCATTAATCTTTTAAGATCAAAATAGAAGTGTCGGTAGTGTGATGAAGATTAATGATAATGTAATATGACAGTGTAATGAGTCAACCGTTGGTAAATCACCGGTTAACGTCAGCGATCAGCGGTGGCACTCTGGTGGCTGACAGCGATGGATGTCAGTGTGACAATGATAACGTTGTAATTGAAATCTGATACACAGGTGAGTGTGACAGTGAAATAATGACAATGTAAAATTATATTTTGGTGTTTCATAATGTTATATATACTCTTATAAAGTGAGAGGTAGGTCTCCCTTAAAAGTGTTGTACTCCCTATATATGAAAAATTAGATGAATTACCTCGATGTTTCACAACATACACTATCACTATGTTTGGTTCAAGGAAATTGGAAGGAAAAGTAAAGAAAATAATCTTTCCTCAATTTCCTTACCAAAATGAGAGGAATTTGATTTTCCCTTGTCTTAACACATTTTGCCATTTCATTTTCTTTTCTTTTCATTTTTCTTTTCTTTTCATCTCTAACCAAACTCTGTTTTAATTTGTTTTGTTTTTTAAAACAATTTTTTTCTTTGTAAAAAAGTAAAGTGTATTGTTAAAGAGATTGAATTAAAAACATTCTTTTATTAAGTTACAACTTTAAAAGACATGTAATTAAATATGAAAATATTTGTTAATAAAGTTGAGATAGCATCAAAGTTTTTTCAAAACCTGCCAACTAAAATATTTTTATTTTTAAAGTATTGTACAAGTAAGTGCCACCCTATAATTTGCCTACATATGGAGGGACAAGACAAGGCTAAAAATGGGGCATGTACGACTTAATTAAGTACTTGCTCAAATGCTCATAATATTGTGAAAAAATGAGTACTCTCCGGGATTTAATCTTTTCACTTGACTTTTTACGGTTTTTAATGTAACAATTTGACTATTTATAAAAATATTTATATATAGATATATTTTTAATAATTTATAATTCGTTAAAACTAAATTTTAAAATAAAAGTATTGATATTATATTTATATCAAAATACAATATACTTCAAACTAGGAGTAATAAAATGAGGTGCTCCTTTTTTTCCTTCAATTTGTCAGTTCCATTATTCAAAAAAGCAATCCTGCCTTGTTTATTGTCTCCTTGCCATCTAGCATTCACTTTCATGCAAAAATACAAGAAAATATGAAGTCCAAGATTGTGATAATCTCTTTTCTCTTACAGTCTTATTTTTCTCTCTTCTTTACTACCCCTCCAAACTAACCATTTCTCCCACATTATTCTCTTTTGGGACATAATTTTTTTCTCCAAATTTCCATCCCTTTTAAAATAGCTCAAAATGTAATCTAATGTTTGCCATTACAAGGATTCCCAAATATTCCATTGCATGTTGATGTCATTTTATAGGGTGCAAAAACGAAAGAGGTTGAAAATATTGTGAGGAATTTTTACTGATATCAATAGCTGCGCTGATCCACACGGAGTATTAGAAATCTTGTTCTCTTCATAATTAAAACTGCTTCTGAACTTCTCTACCTGCTCGATTGAGTAGTAGCAAGTCTACTTCCCAAGATTCATGGAGAAATTCACCCAGATTTGCGCCAAAGCGGAGGCAAATCCTTTGCTCTTTGTCTGTCATTAAGTTGAGAATAGTATGAGCTAATACTACCTTGTAATAGAAATTAAAGAATCAATAACATTCAAAAAATATTGCTTCTTACCATCAATCTAAAAGAATGAATTCAATGAAAAGTTTAAGTTTATGATTGGAGAAAATTACACAAATAGGACCAAAAGAGGCCCCTTTTCCGTGTTTAGGAGCAGTCCTATTTATGTCTACGTGGCTTGGAGTTGAAAGACTGATATGCCCTTCAATTTAGACTTTAATGAAAATAAAAACAAAAAGAAGATATACGCTGTTTTACGGAGAAGCGCGGAAGTGTAGCCGCAGCATCCGCCGTAGGTGATACGTTGCTGCTCGAGTTTCCATGTGTGTCTCTACTTCTCCTGCATGCTGACTTGTGTGGGTATCCTATAATAGATCTAGGATTCCATCAATAGGGAATAACGGGTTTATCAAACTGAAATTGAATTGAAGAGAACACATGACGACGAAGAGCAGTTCAGCGAAGAAAATGGCGAACAGAGAACCTGTAGATGACGATGATGATTTCGTGGACAAGATTCCAATATTAAAGACCGTGAACTTAGTTAAAACAACCTCAGGGCGAGTAAGTTCTTTATTTGTGCTTCTTAATTTTTGAATTAGGTTATAATCCCTGAAATGAGGTTGAAGTTTGCAGCTGTGCATATGTCTTGTTTGTGAAAATGTCCGTGGTGTTGAAATGTCTTGCAAAGTTTTTATTTAGTTATGTACTTAAACATCCTGTGAGTGTTTGTGATGAAATTAGGTATGGTCTCGAGTTTAAGGACTTTGTGGTGGTGGGTTGTAAGTTTTTTTTTTGTTGATATTTTTTCAAAGTGTTGGCCATACTTTTGGAAAAGAATTTAGTATTCGGTGTTGGCTGTAAAGACTTCTTATTCTATATAGTTTGAGTTTTATGGGTGTGTAATTGTAATGATTTAGGCATTATGTCCAAGATATTAGGTTTAAAGACTTGACGATGTTGGTATTAGGATTAATGACTTTTTATCAATGAGAATGGTTTTAAGGGTTTAAAGATTGGTTTTTAATGTCTTTTAATTGTGTGTAGTGACCAAAGGTGGTCCTGGACATGTAACTGGTTTGATTTAGGGTTAATGAATTTTCTAAGTGAGGCCACTTTTAAGTGTTTTAAAGAGGTGGTGTTAATGACTTGGTATTGTTTGAAGTCTCCAAAGGTGCCCCTGATATTAGGGTTAAGGACTTGTTAATGGTGTGATTTTAGATTAATGACATTTTATCGGTGAGTAAGGTTGTAAGTTTTTTAAAAGGTGGTTTTATTGGTTTTAGTGTTGTTTGTAGGGACCTTTGAAGGCCCTGATGTTACGGTTAAGTACTTGTCACTAGTCATTAACTAGGATTTATGACTTTTTATTACTTGAAAATTAAAGACTTCTTTATTTTCTGGAAAAATTATTTTGAATGGTTTCTGATGATGTGGTGACTGATCTTAAAGACTTTATTTTTTGTAATGGTTATGAATTTAATAGGTCATTATGGGTTTGGTTTTTATAATGGTAAATATAATGCCTGATATATGTTTGGTCGTTGGCTATTTTGCAACAGGTGTACAAAAGGTTGTGTGATGAAGAGGCTTTGGTCAGGAAAGCAGGGCTTAAGGTCACTTGCTTTTGTAATGTGTGGGTGGGTGTAAAAAGTATTCGAGATGTGGTCAGTGATCCAGAGATGGCTGAGTTGAAGCGTTCTGCATTTGGAAATTTCTTCAAGTTTGGGGGAATAAAGTATGTGAATGGTCAGCTGTTGAAGATGGCTGAGTTTCTGATGATGGGGTGCGATGTGGGGGATATGGATGAACACGAAATTGTTGCATACAGGAAGAAGATGACTGTGGAGTTATTAGCATACCCTGCCGTCTAGGCTTAATGACTTGTTGTTGCTTGAGAATAATGCCCTAGTCGAAGTCCTGTTTTATTGATAATATGCATGTAGTATCCAGACTTTTGTTGGTGAAATTAGACAATCCAATCATGAGGTCGTATTTTGATTAAATTTGTTGAATGTATTTGACAAGTTATGGACATGCATGATTTGAAAAATATTCAAATATGGTTTTTTAATATAAGTACTTAGCGTATTTGGACGAAATGATGGTTCTGATGTTTATGTTGCAAAGACATTATGAATGTATACATTAGTTGTGTAGAAATATTTTAGTATTGTTCTTTAAATTTCTATTCATATTATTTTCTGGCTAGATCGGGAAACAAGAAGAGGAGGTGGGCTCCGCTTTCCCCATATATAAAAACATGGCGGTGGTGTTGGTAAATATAAATTCTTGTCATTAATGACCTGAGGCTGAATGTAAATTTTGTTTATTATATATTATGGCTTAATAATGAATCTCGGGGACGATAATGTCCTTTTTTGGGTGTCATGAGCTTGAGTAACTACAAATGGAAAACGAGGAATAAACATACATTTGGAGATATAAGAAATGGTTACATACGTAGAGGAAGTCATTATGCTTAAGTGTTACGTAAGCAACTAAAGGAGTGGCATATAATTGACCATAATGTATTAATTGTATATGTTAAATGAAATTGGGAAACCAGGCTAAACAAGGCCACAAATTAAGCACTTGAAATTCGTGATACTGTCTTGATATGGAGTCAAGCACGACTTCGCTGAGAATAGAATTTGGGGGGTACGGCTTCTTTGTTGCATCACAAAATTTGTGTTTAACGAGCTCTGCAATAATGTGATACGTAGCTTGACGTGTTTTGCCTTGTCGAGCATCAATAGGGCATTGATGTTCAAGGTTGTACCTGACAAAAAAATTGTAAACGATACGATTAACTTCCAAAACATGTGTGGTTAAGGACAGATATTATTATGTAAGGAGGTGATGTTTGGTACCTAAAAGAACATAATGTCCTGATTATGTTTTGAAACGGACCTACGGCGTCATTCAGGGTGGGTAAGAATTTAATGTTTGATATATAGAACGGCATAGTGTTCTCATTATGTTATTCATAGTCAGTAAAAAAGCTAAAGTGTGTTAGATAAGAGAGGATACAGTCCTGAATAGTGTGTAAGAGCTGAGCTTTGATACATAATAGAACATAATGACCTGATTAGGGCATATTGAGAGTAAGGCATTAACAGATATCATTGTTTTTAGTCTTTAACAAGGATTGGAAAGGGACCTACAACATCATTCATATGCAGCAATATGTAAAGCTTTTTAGGTAACAGAGCATAATGTCCTGATATAAACGTAATCTGATTAGGCCGTAATCAGATGAAGGCATTAACAAATGGTTTTGCATAAGAAGACGGGTTGGATTGAAGATAGTTAGTGCAGACAAGCTCGCTGCTTTGGACATTATTCTCGGGTATTTCATCTCCACGAAATGTGTGCAATACAGAGCCAGGGGAAATTGCATTTGTGATGGTATACTGGCTGCATCCGAAGTGCAGATTGTTCGGTTTTGTTCAAAATCAGAGAGAGAGCTGTCTAATTCTGTACCTTCGCAGTCGCTTGAATTGGAGACGGAATGATGACAAAGGAGAGGCTGTTATAACTCCGAAAGGACTAAACCTCCTTTAGAAACGATAGTTTCTGAAAAATTAGTTAATTCAACGCACAAAGGGAATTTGCGTACACCACAGTGAATGCTCTTCAACCGAATATATGCGAGAAGGCTCGTATCATCGTCAATCACAACATGACTAGAACATGAATAAGAGATGTGCGTATTCTTAAAAACAGTATTCTCATAGAATGGTGGGACCGTATTACGAATCACCTGCATCAAGTCAGTGAATGATGCCTGATGCGGAATCTGAATCTCATATGCGTATGTGTAGGAGAAGACGCCATGAATGTCCCATTTGCCGTCGAATTGGAGCAGAGAATGGATGGCAGCCGGTGAGGGGTTAACTGGGACAATGCTAGATACAGAAGCCAATAGTGAAGAAAACATGGTCGTGTTGGGCAACTGGGATGGGTGAAAGACTTTGGTGGTGGGCGGCAGAAATGAAGGAGACGGAAACCTAAATCCATGGGGAGTTACAGAACTGGAGCGGAAATGAAGGGATAATGGCTAGAAAGTGGGGGAAATTATTAATAATTATCCTCAAAATGTGTCAAGGAAATTTTTTTTTAAAAAAAGGGAAAAACACGGCATTTTCGACCCAGAAGGGTAAAATCGGATGCACGCCCAAAAATAACTCCTATCTAAGGAAAAAAAAGATACAAGTCCTATTTAGGGAAAACACATATCTTTGAGTCCTAAATGGAACAAATTTTACTTATGATTGTAGGTCCATGAATGACTTCATACTCTAACTCACATCATCACTTGCACGGATCAATATTTGTTTTAATTTGCTCGAGCCTTGCACATGAAAATAATTTTCTTTACTATATAACGATGACATTTAAACTCGTGAGTTCTTGGTCAAGGCTCCAATATCATGTCAAAAAATTAATTCTTACTCTTTAACCCTCTCTACCCTATACCACGCTAAGTCCTCCGATCACATATGCTCGTATTTTGGCGATATCTACCATACCTTTACTTAGGTATATATAAATAGAGAGAAAAGGTATTATACTTTCTTTTGTTTTAAAGAGGCGTCTTTACCGCTTCTTTGCATAAAAAGATATTAGAGCATAACTAACGGGGTAGTATAAGAAGAGAATTGGAAGAATAGTTAGAGAGATTTTACGACCTTACTCGAACAGGATGTGTTCTATAGGAAAGTACCCATTTACTCTAAAGTTAGAGAGAATTAGAGAAAGAGTAATTTGCCTAAATAGTACTAAAACATAATGACTTTCTCAATATAGGACCATTTGTTTTTATTTTCCAATGTAGGACTATTGGTCATTATATATTAGTCATTATTCAATTAAATGTCCAGCATCCCTTGGACATTATTCTTCTCACTAGTCATTATTAAGTACTATTTAGAGAATAAAAAAGTTTAAGTCCTATATTGAAAATTGACTTATGTTTTAGTCCTATTCACAGCAAATTTCACTTAGAGAAAATAGAGGGGATGTGATAGATTGAGGGGGAATAAAATGTTTGATTGGATGTAAATGATACTTTAAATTTGATTGGTTGGAAATGAAATAAACATTTTGAAATAAAAGATAAATAAAATAAAATGAAAAATGGTTAAAACAAGGTGAATAAAATAAAATGAAAAATGATGATGTGGTGAAGAATATGAGAAGAATGAGGCTGGGCGACGATGAGACGGTTGCAATTGGGAAATTCTGAGGAGGTGTGAGGTAGCTTACGTGTTGCGGGAATGAGCACTGCTGGGACCTGCATTTTAACTGTAAGGGATTGAGTGAAATTACAGAAAAAACCCTTTGTTCTCCCATCAATTACAGTTTTGCCACCTGGGTTAGATGGGTGTACTTGGCCGGTTTTCCGGGAGGTTCATGAACCTGTCCGGTTCCAAACCGATGGAGTGTCATTTTCTTATTCCTACAATCTATATATGAATTTCCATAAATTATTTACGGTTACAAATTATTTCGTTTTTAAATATATACTCCGTAAATTATATTTTTAAACTAAATACCAACAATAAATTAATGTAAAAATAAAATCCGTCAATCTCATAAACTGAAACAAACAATTTAGTATCACTACTCATTTCAAAAATCAAAATTAGGGAGTAAGATATATGGACCATGACGATTGACTAATCTAGTAATTTATCTCTAGAGTTAATTACTACCTCCGTCCCACTCTTTTTGTCCAGTTTTGACTTTTGGAACTATTCATCTAAGCACTTTGACTCATCAAATTCTCTCAATGTGTAAGTCTAAAAATAGTCATGTGTGATCTTGTTTGATTTGTCTTAACATATAGATTATTAATATATAATTTTTATAATTTTTTAATATACAAATTACAAGATAAAATGAATTAAAGAAGTGCATTGGATGGTGTGCAAAAATGAAAGTGGACAAAAAGAGTGAGACGGAGGGAGTATGTTTTTGGTTGGCGTAAAATTAACAAGTTTTGGTTTTGGTCCCTACAAACATTTTTTTGTTAAATTATCCATGCAAAATTATTATTTTTCCAAATAGTCATCTCCTAATTTAAATATATTATTTTTATCCTTGTGAAAATTATAAATTGTGCTTTTAATTCCCCCAAAAGTTTTTTGGTTCATTCTTCCTCTTCTAAAATTACTTGATACACCATACAAGATTAACTTATTTTCCAAGTCAAGATATACTTTATTAAAATGTCAATGCCATTGAAATTTTTGAAGTTTTACTTAAATAACTACTCCCTCCATCCCCAATTTGATTACAAATTGCGGGTTACGGAGTAAAATTTTCTACTTTTTGAAATCATTTTATTTATAAATTGGTATATCAATAACATATAAAAATTAAATATTAAAAAACTACGTCAAAAGTTCTACAAAATAAGAGGTGACAAGAATATTTTATTTTATCAAATACTTAATTAAATCGCGTAAATAAACAAAAGTTATCGAGAGGAGAGAGAAAATAAAATTGTAATCTATTTAGGGACGGAGGGAGTATGTTTCTATGACTTTGTTAATTTGTTTTCTAAAGTAATACTTGTCCAGATTAATTAATTAAATCGAAAAAAAAAGAAATAGAAAAAAACAAAAGGAAATCAAATATGTTAATTTTGGTGATCTTGCTTTTGGATGAGAATTGGTGACCATTTATCATCTAACATGCTTTTGTTGACTTTCTCTTGAATTGCATGATTGATGTTTGGCTATAAACATGGAGGATTGTGAGTGGTTTCCACACACGGCTAATAGAGAAGGAGAGTGAAGAGGGAGGTGCTACTAGGGGTGTTCATTCGGTAAAACCGAACCGAACCGAACCGAAATTTCGGTAAACCAAAATTTCGGTAATATTATACTTGTACCGAATACCGAACCGTATTAAATCGTTCGGTACGGTTAATACCGAAATTATTTCGGTTTGGTATTCGGTAATACCGAAAAAATCAAAAATTTCATTTTATTTTCATATATACTTCACTTTTTTTTATTTTCAATTTGTACCACAAGCAATCTTATTCAACATTTAAAGAAATTAGAAATACTTTATATTTTTTAGCTATAGTTAGTCATAAATTACTTGGTTTTTCATATTATTAAAAGATTATCGAAGCACATGATTTTGATCTTGTAAAAAAAACTGAAATATAAAAAAGAAATAAAAAATTTAAAATATAGAAAGTATTCTATCAAGATGTTTAAAAGATCTTACCTTTAGCCATCGGTAATTTATTGCCCTACGAAGTGAGGTCAATGTATTGATCATTTAGAATAAATGAAACAAAAAATTGAAGAAAAAAGAGTCAAATAGTAAGCATGAGTAAATTTAGCTATATATGAAGTACTGTATTTTTAAAAAATTAAAATTGTGAATAAAAGGAAGGATAAAATACGGTAGACCACTATATAAGTTGCTTGGGCTCAAGGTTAGAATTCAACTTCAAAATATTTAAAATAATAAAATGAAGTAATAATTTGATATTCGGTAAAAACCGAATTACCGAATTACCAAATCAAACCGAAAACCAAATTTTAGCAAAAAGAAAAACCGAATACCGAACCAAATTATTCGATTTGGTTTCGGTACGTATCGAATTTTCGGTTTCGGTACGGTTTGGTCAGTTTACCGAATTGTGCACACCCCTAGGTGCTACACAAGATTTCACCAAAAATTCCTATTTTGATTTTTAAAGCATTTAAGAAAAATGTATTTTGTAGTGACTTTTCAAAAATGCTCTTTAATGTGATAGATAAAGTAAGATGTGATGAGTAGATTAATAGAAAAAAAAATGTTTTTTAAATGTTCATAATTAGGTATTTTTCCCAAAACTAATAATTTCTAAGTATATGTTTTCCCGAAATAGAGCCAATGAGCCGTCTCGGGGTGGATTCGTTCATCTAGCAGTCACCCACTTATTATGAAAGGATTATTTTGAGAACTTATTCATAATTTAGATAATAAAAAATACAAAACTATTCTTTGTTTAACTGTTATTTAATAAACATTTTTGATAGAGGATTGTTTATGAAATATATCTCAATTTGAAAATATCATATTGATAGTTATTGTCTTTTTTAAGACTTACTGAAAAAACATCTATTGAAATGTAAATTTTATTTTTTATTTCTATACCAATATGTAAATAAAATTAATTTAAAAAAATTAATATTTTATTTCAGGAATACAAGTGTGACAAATATTTAGGAACGGAAGAAGAATAACAAACGAGCAATTAATTTTAGGATACAAGGAATTACGGAGTATGAGGTTAATAGTAGAAAAGGCAAATAAAAGGTCCAGTGTGTGTTAGGCCCAAATGTAAGGCGATCCATTTACATGCGGAGTACCACTCTTTTATAGCCCATTTTACCCCATTTTATAATTCCCGTCGCTCTATAAATACATCAAAACCCTATCGGCGACCACTCACCATCATCCGGCCGCCGTGCTTAAGAGCCTCACGCTCTGAGAAAATTAGGGTTACGTTTATATGCTCTTTGATAATGTGTTTTGTGGGATCGGAAAGAGGAGGAAGGCGATGATGAGGGTATATATGTAAATCTCGTTAATCTGATTCGTATATGAGGATTATACTTCCCATCCATTCATTTTTCTCACTGAGCTCCTCCTCTCCGATCCGCCATTTTCTGTGTTCATTTTTCTCTGATTTTATTTGTGTAATATGAATGCTTATTTTTTGCGACGAGTTTTATATTTTGCAATTAAGAGGTATTGAAGTCCAATTGATTTCACTGAAAATTTCGAATTGAAAGTGTTTTTTGAGGGTCCGTTTGGTATACGGAATCGGTGGAATTGGAATTGAATTGGAATTGGGATTTCATGAGATTCGATTCCGTAGAATTGAATTCATCAATTTCAATTCATTTTTTGCATTATCAATTCCAAATCCACATAATATTTGTGCTACCAAACACCAGAATTGGAATTGAAGTCCTCACTTCCAATTCCGTAATTTGAATTCCTTGTACCAAACGGGGCCTGAATTCATTTCAGTTTTTGTTGGTATTTGTCTATTTGGTAGAGAAGATTTGAATTTCACTGCTATAGATATATTTCAAATTGGTTGTGTTAAAAGTTGTTTTTAGATAGTTTTTTAAATATCGTGAAATTTAATTTTTTTTAGCAGGGCTATCATTTTTTCTTACACAATGAAGAATATGATAGTTATTGGTATAAGCGTTTACTGCTTGGAAGGTAGGGGTGAAGATATCTTGTGAATCATATCGACCACCAGTGGGAAAAACATGAGGTTAACTAAGACTTATAATTTGAATAATGGTTTTTATTAGGAATCAGCATATAAATTGAGAGTTAAAAATTATTGAAATGTTTAAGATTGCATGTTTGTTTACTCTTTTTATACCAGTCTTATTTTGAAATGTACTATATTTTATTTTACGGAGTTATATTTTTGTACTAACTATTTTTTATATAGATACTTGGTTTGCTTCACAGTTCAAAAAAAGTGATTTTTTGGTTAGGTAATAAAGAAAAGAGGGGAAGAACTAAAAATCATACTTGCAATTAGCAGATCAGAATGAAAGTTTGTTTTAGCTCCTAAGTTTTGCCTTGATATACGGCTTCTCTTGGAAACGTATGAAACTTAGGAGCCAAAATAGGCTTCCATTCATTCTATTCTGGTTTCCAGCATGGTTTTTTTCCCTTTTTTTTATCTAATTGAGAACTCCAGTTTTTTTTGAATACTGCCACAAGCTGATTCTTTGTTATAGTATATACTCCGGGTAGTTGGTACAAACATTATTACTCCATTGAATATAGCAAATTTATCAAATTAGATTCATATACTAAGAGCCAATGAAAATGCAATTTTTTTATATTTTAATTGTTTTTAATTTTTGATTCATTCTAATTCTGCATAACTATGTATTTAATGGTAGATCTTGTTTAATCCCATGTTTTGCCACTGGTGGTCGATATGTCTCTCAAATTGCACCCTGGGCGGCTTTGAAGTCCTTGCGAACTCATGAAAGGCCTAAAAGTACATGAACGTGTATTCAATTCAGATTCTAAAAGATTTTAATAGATTGTTTAGAATACATAGATAATGTAAAGTCCATAGATTATTTTAATTCTACATAGAGTTTGATAAATTTTAATGTGTTTTTTGAGTAATATTTTATAAGATTCTCTCAAATTGTTCATAATCCATGAATTACATAGAATTCGTCTTATTTAACATAAACTTGAATATATTCAATCAAATTTGCAAGCAAGAATAAAAAACATTCATGGAAAAGGATTTAGAAATTGAAAAAAATGCTTGCAAAATGCAATTTTGTTTGAAAAACGGCAATGGAAAAATAGCAAGAATAAAACCAAAAGAATAAGAGTAAGAATAAATAACTCTAGAACTCTATTTTTTAAAAAAGAAATTTATTTAAATAAGACTAAAATATAATAACTTTCTCAATATAAGAGTATATGTTTTTATTTTTTAATGTAAGACTTTTGGTCATTATCAAGTAGTCATTATTCAAGTAAATGTCAATTAATACTGGACATTATTTCTTCTGCTAGGTCATTATTAAGTTCTATTTAGGGAATAAAAAAGTTTAAGTCTATTTTATTTTAGTCTTATATAGTGCAAATTTTACTTTTTTTAAATTCTCGTACGTTTCCAATTCGGGAGTTGTTTTTCCACACAGTTAGAAATCTTCAACATGAATTAGATATAGGTCGCAAAATGATACTGGCTGCAAAAGTCTAAGAATTTAATTTTCCATGGAAGAAGATATAGTGAAGCTGCACGATGGATATTGCAGAAGATGGCACAAGGTTGCAGGTGATCTGGAACGAAAGAAGAGTCTGGATAGAAATCTTTAGGTTTGGGGAGAGATTTCAAAGTTGATTTTCATTTATAATCAAAGCTTGGAAATCCACCAAAATCTATAATTTCATGATTTTTTCAAAATCTATGAATTTTTTAATACCTTTATAATTTAAAATCTCAATTAAATACAGCTGGATTTTTAAATGACATTTTAACGTCTAAATTGAATACTCATATATTTTTAGAATCCTAAGAAATACTATAAAATCTATATTCAATACTTAGTTTTTCTAGTTTTATTGCTATCATTTATTTCATTTTAATGAGGATTGAAGATGTATTTTCCATATTTTGGATTAGATTTTTTTACTCCTTTTTTGTAAGATGAATTATTTTCAAGTGGTGTAATCATTGATACCTTTTGATTATGAATTGAACCGTTGATTTGATTCATATATGAGGATTATAAATCCCATCCATTCCCTTTTTCAACTTTGAATGCCTTTCTTTTGCAAGATCCATGATAGTTGTAGTTGATGCAATCTTATTACTCCCGTTACAAATTAAATTACTTGTTTATTATTCTTTTTTCAAATTTAATTTATGTTTTTTTATTTTTATTAGTTATTTGATAAAATAATATAATTATCTTACTAGTAATTTTATAGATTATTTAATATATATATATATATATATATGTATGTATATAAATATATAAACATTAATTTTTATGTTTAAATGTTATTCTTGATTTATGCATAAAATGATATAAAAATAATCTTATTAAAATACTGCAAAAATTGAAACATGCAAGGGAGTGATAGTAATGGAATCCGAAATTTAGTGTCCATTTGGGATACAGAATTGACGGAATTAGAATTGAATTAGAAAATAAAATTATATGTAAAGGATTTGGATGAAGTTGAATTTTCAAATGCCTATTCAGCTTTGACACTTCAAAGTTGAATTTCACATATTTTTGTGTTGTCAAATAATAAAATTTAAATTCTTATTTTCAATTCTAATTTCATAGTTCGGAGTCTTAATCTCTTTTAAGATTATTAAGAGTACTTTTCAAAGAAATTCACTTTTAATAGGTCTTTTGAAACCAAACTATTTTTCTTTTGCGTTTTTACATTGGGACGCGATTATGTGCTCACCTCAGCTCCCTCCCCCCTCTGCCTTTGTACTCGCAATCGCGATTATTAAATATAGAAATTTTTCTATGCTAAAATTTTGTTATATGTTATTGCTATATTTATCTTAATTTGAATATTTTTTTTGGTTTATGGTAATTGACATAATAAAAGTTAAGATGAATTTTAATAATCTTTATTTCAATTAAAATGATTTGATAATTGAGGTGGATTTATAAAACTCTGAATTTTATTGGATATGTAATATGAAAAATTAAATGTTATATACTCTCGTTTTGTAAATTTTTTTTGTAGTTTATTAATATGTACGGATTAATTTTTATTTGATATTGATATACCTATTTCTAATTTAAATGATTTTAAAAGACAAGATTCCTAATCAAAATAGGCATAGGAATTGAGGGTGATATAAGAGGATTAGGAATCTCCTCCAAAAATCATAGAAATAATCATAATTTCAATAAAAATCATTTGAGAACTGAAGTGGATTTATAAAATAGCCTTATAACCAAAAAGTATTTAATAAAATACTCCATCCATTCCAAAATATTTGTCACACTTGTTTTTTCAACAGTCACGGAAACTTTTGTTTATTTCTACGTTTTCATTAGTTATTTGGTAAAATAAAATATTCTTGACATTTCTTATTTTTAAGAATTTTTCATGTAGTTTTTTGATATGTAAATTTTATTTTTTATTTCTATAGCAATATGTAAATAAAATGAATTGAAAAAACTTAATATTTTATCTCGAAAATACAAGTGACAAATATTTAGGGATGAATGGAGTATGTGATATGAAAAATAAAATGTTTTATCACCCCTCACTTTGTAATATTTTTGTTGTAGTTTATTATTCCGAATTAGTACGGGAGTAATTTTTATTTGGCATTAATATACTCTTATTTATAAATTGAATGATCTTAAAAGACAAAACATTCCTAATCCAATTAGGAATAGAAAGTTAGCATAGGGATTAGGGAGTGTATAAAAGGACAGGAACGAGCCTCCAAAGTCCAAATCGATTGGGCGTGATAAGAGCCAGCCATGGAAGAAGACAGGGTCTTGCGATTGAGAGAAGCCATGGCGGAGAGCGGTTCGAGATCCGATCACCCGATTCTCTGCGAATTCTGCTTCGGGGAAGACAATCCCCGCATCACCGAGGTATGCCCGCATATCCCTGATTTTGGTTCGTCGACAATTTGTTTTGTCTTGAAACATGACAGCAAAACATGATTTGGATTGGATTGCAAGGTTTGATATGATACCTATGTTTTGTATTGCAGGCGCCTTACGATTACTCTTGCAAAACGTGCGAGCGACCCTTCAGGCGGTTCCGGTGGAGGCCGTGTCGGGACGGGAGGTACAAGAAGACGGAGATCTGCAAGCCGTGCTGCGTGTCGGGATTGGTCTGCCAAGGTTGCGGTGTGGAGCTGTCGAGTTTGGCGCCGGATCAGGTCCGAGAAACCACACTTCATGTGGCCACGAATCATGACGTTGGGAGTAATAGGAATGGCGAAATCTGATGAGCCACCTCTCCGATCCGCCACTTCCAGCTCCTGCGTTTCTTTATGTTCTTTTTTTCCTGTTTTTATTTCGGTCTAAACTTTATTTACCTACTCAATCCAGTCTCACATCAACTACTCCCAATAATACAGTGATGTTCTCTTCACCCGTTCTGAATAGTTCTGATCTAACTTGAAATAAGTTCTGGTCTGATTTGATCTGATGTAACTGTTGTTATATTTAAAAATATTTCTGATATGATCTAAACGTTGTTATATTTAAAATTATTTCTGATCTGATCTGAATGTTGTTAAATTTAAAACTATTTTTGGTCTGATATAGTCTGATCTGCTTACAATAAAAAAATAATAAGTTGAAGAGAATATGATCTAGATAACTTCTTCCTTCGACTTTCTCACCATTCTCTAATTATTTTCCTATTTCTTTCATTATTTTCTTATCACATGTCATATCCTTATTTATACGAAATATGAATAAAAAAATAGAAAAGTAATTGGTCAACCAAAATTTTCCCTTAGTACTTCTTCCGTTTCATTTTATATTGTTCATTTTGACTTTGAGGCATATTTAAGGAAGAGAAAAAGTGGTGTTGATTTTTCAAAAATACCTTAGTTTTTTTATGAGAATTTTGATGAATGAGAAGATAAGATTGAGATGATTGGCTTCTTTTAGAGATAGTTTAAGTATTTTACCCTTAAAAGTTTATCATTATAAGACACAAGTAACTTGTTTTGGGACGGACAAAAAAGAAAAACAGACAATTTAAAATGGGACAGAGAGAATGCTTATTTTTCCTTCACCTTTTTGTATACCTTAAAACAATGCATATTTAACTTTTTGAAAATTAAAGGTAAATGAGAAATATACCTTCTCAATTTAGGCTCCGTTCTGTTCAACTTATTTTTTCTGATCTGATCTGATTCTAATAAGTTCTGATCTGGTCTGATCTGATCTGATCTGATTGGATCTGATCTGATCTGATCTGATTGGATCTGATCTGATCTGATTGGATCTGATTTGATCTGATTGGATCTGATCTGATCTGATTAGATCTGATCTGACTGGATCTGATCTGATCTGATTGGATCTGATCTGGTCTGATCTGATTAACTATGATTTAATTTAAAATTTCAAATTAATTATTTAATTTGACTTTATAATAAGGTTTGAAAATTGTAATGATAATTCATATTATAATATAATCAATATTTTTTATTTAATGATTATTTTTTAATAAAATAAAAATAGTTAATTCATATATTAGAATAATCATTCATATGATAATGTAATAATATTTTTTATTTTATAATAATTTTTTTGTAAAATTAGAATTATACATTATAATAAATATTTAATTTAGATATACATTAAAAAGTAATTAAATTTAGATAATCAATATATAGAAGAGATAGTATTTTTATTAAAATATCTCATCCTTATAAAAGATCAAAACGTTAGAAACTCAAATTACAAGTAGCAATAAAAATATACTCCGTATTTTAAAAGTAGAATTAGATTGAAATTGTCATTTTTAAGAACAACAACAACAACAATAATAATAATAATAATAATAATAATAGTAATAATAATAATAATAATAATAATAATAATAATAATAATAATAATAATAATAATAATAATAATAATAATAATAATAATTCTTGATGAGATCTGATTTTAATAAGTCCTGATCTGATCTGATCTGATTGAATCTGATCTGATCTGATTGGATCTGATCTGATCTGATTGGATCTGATCTGATCTGATTGGATCTGATCTGATCTGATTGGATCTGATCTGATCTGATTCGATCTGATCTGATCTGGTCTGATCTGATTTTAATAAGAATAAGAAAAAATAAGAAAAAATAGTTGAACGGAACGGGGCCTTAGCCCTTTCTTTTTAGAGTTGCTCTAAAGGCAGGGCTTGTTAAGAGTAAAATGACAAGATTTCAATATTAAGGGAATAATGATACATATTAAATACCACATAAGTCAAGCATTTCATTTGATCTATTTACTCTGCTTTCATCAATGTGTATGTTTATTTATACATAGTCATGTACACATTTATTTATTGGTCGTGTATTTCGTCATCATCCATTGCAACCTGTGGGCCGGCTCATATAGCACTCAGAAATTTGGGCCGGCTGCCAAAATCTCTTCAGTCAGGCTATTGTCTGGCCCAATTTTGTAGTTCAAGAACCACTCAAAGTTTTTCTTGAACAGCCCACCTAACTTCAACAGGGTTGCATTGTAGGCATCCTTGTCTGGCCACTGTCACAAAATATAACATTGCATCAATAGAAATTATGCCCAGTTTGGCAAGGCTTATTTAGCTTAAATATTGAATTTTTTCAAAGAAATTTATGGAATAGCATTCACAACAACTTATTTAGGGCCTCTTTTTGTTAGAATATAAAAACATTTCATTTATCTACCATACATATTTGAGCTTTTATTTAAATCAATTTTTTAATATGTTCTCAGAGTCTTGTTGACCAAGAAGATACTTACAGTATTGATGGGGTTCAAGATTTCAGAAGGCACTCCCTCTATCTTTGTTGGGATCTCAAGCCCAAAAACCTCCGTCTTCGCGTACTTCGCTTCTAGAAGTTCCCCCGAGTGAATCGCGTCGATGATCTTCCTAGTGTGTGCCAACTTTATGCGCCTACCCGTTCCGTAGCTGCACCCAAAAAAAAAACAAGGCCTCGTTTGGCAAACGAATATTCACTTCTTCCTACGAAAATTCATTTGGTAAAAGACGAAATGCACTCATTTAATACCTTCCAGCAGACCAGCCCGTATTGACTAGCCATCCGGTCGCGCCATGTTTCTGCATTTTCTCAGAGAGCATCGCGGCGTATTTGGTTGGATGGAACATTATGAATGCTGCACCAAAGCATGCTGAAAATGTTGCAGTAGGCTCTTTTATGCCGTCCTCGGTCCCAGCCACCTTAATAGTTTTTTATTCGTAACAAAAAATAAGAACGTGACAAAAAACAAGTACGAGAAATGATCAATAGTTTATGACGATAGATTAGTGACAGGTTTTAGCTAGGTTTGTTTTAGGGCGCGTACCAATGCCGTGTAACCACTGATGAAGTGGTACATTGTTTGAGCCAAACTCAATTTGCTCACAGGTGGGAGCACGCCAAACGCGTCACAAGCCAGAAGAATGACGTTTTTTGGGTGAGGGCCCACGCACGGGATCTTCGCGTTTGGAATGTATTCGATTGGGTACGCAGCCCGAGTGTTCTCTGTAATCACGAAAGAAATAGGAGGTTATTCACAATGTCCATACCTCAAATGTTGCGTCTAAATTACCTGTTACAGATTTATCAGAATAATCCACTTCTCGCGTGTGTTCTTCAAAAACCACATTCTCCAAGACTGAAGGGGGGAAAAAAAGAAAATATGTCAATCTAGTGACTCAAAACTTAATTATTAAGAGACTTATACATTCATATTTGTGACAAAACATTATACCAGTGCCAAACTTTATAGCATTCCAAATATCAGGTTCTTTGTCCTTTGAGAGGTCAATGCATTTGGCATAACAGCCCCCCTCAATATTTGACACACCTTCATCGCTCCAACAATGTTCGTCATCTCCGATGAGGTACCTATTGTGATCCGTAGACAAGGTTGTCTTTCCGGTGCCTTCCAACACATAAAAAAAATAACGGAAAAATAAAAACAAATCAACACACTTCATAACTAAACGTTGAAGCTCTTGCCAAACGGGCACCGTTCATGTGTATATCTTAGAATATAAGAAACATTTCTTGAGACACAACCACAAGCTTGAGCTTTTGATTAAGTTGGTTCCTTCAGAGTATATATTTACCTGATAATCCGAAGAAGAGGGCGACATCTCCTTGTTTTCCCACATTGCACCCAGAGTGCAAGGAGAGGATGCCGCGGTTGGGCATCAAATAGTGCATCACGCCAAACAAGCCTTTCTTCATTTCCCCGGCGTACTGTGTGCCGAGGATGACCATTTCGCGCCGCGATAGATTGAGGTCTATGCTGGTGGAGGATGTCATGTAGTGGGTGTAACGGTTACATGGGAACTGACCGGCATTGTATATAGTGAAGTCTGGAGTACCAAAATCCTCCAGCTCTTCGGGCGTGGGTCGGATACACCTGTCACCACTCTACCCTAAGGCACTGTATATGGTGCTATAAAAACACTATCTTTGTCCCGGTGATTCGTCCGGTTTGACCATTTAAGTGGAACAAGAATCAAATCGGACGAACTTTTAACTATAAGTACAAATATAGTTACATTAGATTTATCTTGCAAAATATGGATTATTTTCAAATGATTATTTCATCGTATTACTGCATAATATAAATTTTATTTCATTGTTGAATAAGTTCGTTGGTTTTCAGTGAAAAAAGTCAAACTAGACGCATATAATGTGATAAAGGGAGTATTTTAAAGCAAAAGTTTAAGAAGTTGAAAAAATTCTTGATCAAGCCAATCCTTACATGTTGTGCATGAACAAGGAGTGATATGCTCTTGCGGATACGATTCGAACTTTGATTCGGTTGTTCAGATCCCAGTTTAGAAATTGATCATTCACAAAAACCTGCAAAGACCCATTTGAACCAACCAAATGAGTGAGTTATTGATGGCAAAAGAAAAACTAAGGACCATTTGGTAAGGGTTCATTATAAATTGGTTGAAATATTAAACAATGCAAACTTTTTCTAAAGAGCAGAGATAATCCACAGCTCTTTCCCTGTTGACCAAGAAAGTATGCTCGTCCATTTCGATATTGGGTGATCCCCTATATAGAAAATAGTTAGACAAAACATACATTCCCTATATGTAGACAAAAAAACATTTTGAATATTTTCAAATTGTCACGAAATCGATTAAGAAGACGAAAAAATGAGACGCGACTTACTTTCCCCACCAAAGATCACCGGTTGCCTCATCTTTGACAACACGCTTGTCCCTTGGGGAACGGCCCGTTTTGGCTCCAGACAATGTAGCCAATGCACCACTCGCCGTGATGAATGAACCTTTCTCGTACTTCAAGGCTTGCTCATAAAGCTCTACAATTCTCACACCACACAAAATGCTAATGTTATTAGTAAGAATCCCACTTTGATTTTTTTTTTGTACAACAATCTCAGTAAAATCTCACAAAAAGTAAGGTCTGAAAAGATTGTGAGTACATAGACCTTACCCCACCTGAAAGTAGAGAGACTGTTTGTAAAATATATCTTGACTCATTAGTAGTACATACAACGAAATAAGAGTGTGTATTTTTTTGTACAAAGATAAGTATAACGATTTAAATGTAATTTTAAAAAATGTGGAATGAGAGAGTTTATTTATTACCGGCGGGTGAAAGATTGTAGAGGATATGGGTAAACTTGAGGGCACTATCACTAGTGTTGAATGTTGGTTCGTAATGGTGGTGGTGTTGAGTCACGTGGGAGTCATGTGACACACGTGGCGTCTCCGGTGTTGTCCTCGTGGCGTCTCTCTCGTTAGCGATGCCAATGATGCACTGTATTTATCCAAACAAACAAATTAATTCAGGACAAAAGAGAAGTAACTAATTTGTTCTTTTAAAAAGAAAGAGTAATGGTATGGAAAGTTATTAGGATATGCTTTATTAGGTACTCAATAGGTACAGAGTGTGAATTTCATCTTAAGAATTTATCAGAAAGTATGGAGTAAATGGAGTAACCCGATTTAGGGTTCTATGGTGCTCCATTCGACCCAAAAATGGTTACTACCTCGTAATCTTTTCTAAAAAAAAGGCGTAGAAAAAATTATGTCAACAAAGTTCGCCCCTATCTTCTTTGGGTTCCATTATTGAGGGTAGTGAGCTTTTGTTGTCTTTTTTTTGCTCTTATTCGGTGCATTTTGTTCGTCGTGATGGTAATGTTATTGCTCGTAAGTTAACTCGAAGAGCGGGACCAAATACACTAGTGTAGGTTTTTACTACTCCAAACTTTATTGTTCCTCTTTTAATGCACATAAATCAACGCTTCCTTCCTTAAAAAAAATCAAACTTCTAGTCGAGTACCCATGAGGCCATGAATTGTTTTATTGTTTACAATTTGATTTCACAAAGTTTTAAAAAAACTTGTTAGAGAATAAAAAATGTGTGATCAAATATTGTTTAAAAGTGATAACAATATTGTAAGCCACCTATCTATTTATTTTAGTAGAAAAGATTTGAATTGTAAACTTAGAAAAATCTCAAAGGAATTTTTTTTGGACAAATAATTTAGAATAAAGTTAGGGTAACATTACATGAACACCCCCACTGCTTTGCAATTTGCACCCACATACACAAATGATAATCGTCTGTGTCGTACATATATGAGGGACACTCGTGGTGAGTGGCCCAAGAATTTAAAGAAATCAGAAGGATTAGGGGATAATGAGGATATGACCAATCATAGCGCATACGTGTCTCACTACACATAACTGCGTGATCAAACAAACTGACTATAGCACAATTTAGACGTTTTGACTTACCTTACAGGCTTAGACTTATGGAAAAAAATGGAATTAACCTACACTATACCAACATGGGGTACCTCAGTTGTACACCAAGTTGACACAGACATACAAAAACACATAATGTCTAAGCATGCACAGACATTATGTGTCTATGTGTCTGTGTGACAAATGAGTACCCAATATTGGTATACCCCTAGCATTGCTAAAAAAATGAGTATTTCTCTATGATTTTCTCCATAATTGTTTCACTTTCCTTTTTAGTCTATTCCAACTAAAATATGCACTTTTTTAAAGTAAACAATACTCTGTTCATTAGTCCCCTATGTGTGGAAATGTTTTGCTCTTTGACCTTTCACAGTCTTCAATATTCCACTTTGACTACCCTCCGTCCTGAAATTAACTTCCCAGTTTAACTTTTGTAGTCAAACTTTTTAAACTTTGACCGTATATTACGGAATAAATACATTGAATTTTGATATAAATTTATTAGCAATAGATTTATTTTGAAACAAAGTTTTGAAATATATAATCTTTATAAAATGTACTCCTATATAAAAACTGAGATATTGATGGTCAAAGTGTCGCATTGGAGACCGTGAAAAGTCAAATGAGAAATTAATTTTAGGACGGAGGGAGTAAAAATTTGATATTTGAAAATTACGATTCAATAAGAATACATTGATATTAAATTTATATGATAATAAAATGTATTTTTTCCACATACTAGAGTTGTTTACAAACTTTCACTAAAAAATTCAAACAGGAAGAATATTTCAGAATAAAAAAATATATTTTTTTCTCTTTTAAACAAATTTCGGCTCCGTTCCGTTCAACTTATTTTTTCTGATCTGATCTGATTCTAATAAGTTCTGATCTGATCTGGTCTGATCTGATCTGATTGGATCTGATCTGATTGGATCTGATCTGATCTGATTGGATCTGATCTGATCTGATTGGATCTGATCTGATCTGATTAATTATGATTTAATTTAAAATTTTAAATCAATAATTTAATTTGACTTTATAATAACGTTTGAAAATTGTAATGATAATTCATATTATAATATAATCAACATTTTTTATTTAATGATTATTTTTTAATAAAATAAAAATAGTCAATTCATATATTAGAATAATCATTCATATTATAATGTAATAATATTTTTATTTTATGATTATTNTAGAATTATACATTAGAATAAATATTTAATTTAGATATACATTAAAAAATAATTAAATTTTGATAATCAATATATAGAAGAAATAGTATTTTTATTAAAATATCTCATCCTTATAAAAGATCAAAAGTTTAGAAACTCAAATTACAAGTAGCAATAAAAATATATTTTAAAAGTAGAATTAGATTGACAATGTAATAATGATGATGATGATGATGATAATAATAATGATAATGATAATAATAATAATAATAATAATATTAATATTAATAATAATAATAATAACAATAATAATAATAATAATAATAATAATAATAATAATAATAATAATTCTTGATGGGATCTGATTTTAATAAGTCCTGATCTGATCTGATCTGATTGGATCTGATCTGATCTGATTGGATCTGATCTGATCTGATTGGATCTGATCTGATCTGATTAAATCTGATTGGATCTGATCTGATCTGATCTGATTTGATCTGATCTGATCTGATTTGGTCTGGTCTAATCTGATCTGATTTTAATAAGAATAAGAAAAAATAAGAAAAAATAAGTTGAACGGAACGGGACCTTCATCCATCATTTTTTTATTTCGTGAAGTCAAATTGAGACAATGAATTTGAAACCAATCAAGTATGAACACTAGAGACTTTCCTAATTCCCAAACCGATTACAAATGGGAAGGGGTGGGGGGTAAAATAGGGAGTATACCTAATGGAGTGGAGCTGCAGTTTGTGGCGCTCTTCCTCAGATAGGGCGGCGGAGAAGGGGGTGTTAGCCGCCGTGAGCGGCGTGGAGGGAGCCGATTTCTTCTTCTGAAGCGAATGCAACTCCTCCACCGTCTTTGCCTTCACCGGCGGCGCACTGTCGTCGTGGCACATCCCATCCTCCTTATTCCTCGTCTTCTGCGTCTGTATCTTCGCCAGCCCATTCCGCCCTTTTCCCCCGGCGGCGAAGCTGAAATCCCCGTCGTTCGCCGTCGCCATCTTTTCCCCCTGTTTTCCCCTGCTACATTTATAAAATTAACCTCCGTCAATTAATTAATTAATTATTAACCGCGGCTAATCAAAATCATTAACAAAATTACGGGATAATATAATTTCATTATTAATTAATTAATTTAAAGGGATTAATTATTTATTTAATCTTGAGACAACCAACCAGCTGAGAGAGATGGGATAGGAAGGGATTGAGAAAAAGCTCACAAATTGTAACTTCGATTTATAACACTTCGTCTTCAATTGACTTAACCATGGTCAAGTTAACTACGGATATGGCTAACCATGGTTGTGGTTGTTGTGGTGATAAGGTATGTATATGACAAAACTCTTTTGAGTTTTATTAAAATAAGATTTGATGGGGACAATATTCATTCTCTCTTTTGAGTTTTATGATTGATATCTCCTAATCATCTTAAATGAGTGTCTTTTGACATTTTCCAATTCTAAGATAATATTTTGCATTTTGGAGATTTCTTATTTTTTTGAATTGTAAGTGAATCAATATTATAATGTTACTTATTTTCTCGCTACTCTATCGAATCACGATGTTAAGATATTCAAGATAAGTGTTATCTTTGTCTTCCTTATTAGAAAAAGATGAACTCAAAAGGGTGGAGCTTGCAGCTGGTAGATGCAAAAACTCAATGATTGACTTAGTTGCGAGTAATCGAACTCAAACCCACCGACCTTTTTTAACTTTGACAATAAGTTGTAAAAACATATTGAAATGTGAATAGATTTATTTTGACATGGAGTTTTTGAAATGTGATATTTTTATTATCTATAAATGTATACAAATAGAGATATTAATAATCAAATTGTTGAATTAGAAAATCCGAAAAGTTCCTGAATAAGAAATATATGGACGAACAAGTACTTTGGTCATATCTCTTCACCTGATCTGAATGATCTGGTCTAATGAGAATAAATTCTGATCTAATCTAAATGTAGTTATACTTAAAGTTGTTTCTGATCTGATTTAATTAAAACTGATTTCAATAAAGAAAATAATAAGTAATATGAACACTTTGATCTAAATCCACCTAAAAAATACTACTCCAACGTATTAAACCTTTCTTTCATAGGCCTATTTGGGAAAGAGTAAGGCAATTTTTGAGTAGAGACAAAAGATGAAAACAACCTCTAAATAAATGGCGACCGGTGGAGGGAGGGATAAACCCAAAACTTTGTCGTGTGGGATCCTAATAATGCATCCCAATTTGTTACATATTGTTTTATGAATTTGGAATGCTGCCCATTATTGTGATTTTGATTATTAATATTAAATTATCTTCCCAGTTTTCTTTATTGAATAATAATTTCAAGAAAAGAACTTTTTCTAGAACTCATTTCTCGAGAATCATATTTTCTAGATCTTCATTATATAGGAGTAGGGATGTAAACAAATTATATACTTTAAATTTGATTTGTAATTTGCATTCGAATATAATGATTCGACTTCACATTATTCAAATACAAACTCATGTTCAAATATTAGTTTTGATTCGAATATTAAACAAATACAAATACAAATAGGAGTATATTCGATTCGGGTGATATTCGAATGTTCGAATATATGTATATACCCATGAACCATATTTCAACATCAATAGTCAAGTAAACTAATATAGTATAAAATGTATTTAAATTACTAAGCTAGAATTCAATAAATTAACGTATCACGAAAATCTAAAGCATGTGATTTTTACATTTTTTAGTTATATTTTATAAAATATAATTTGTGTAAGATGAAAATGTATTAATGTTTTTAGATATAGTATAAGAAGTATCGTAGGTTAAATTATTCAAAATTTATGTTGGTCCATCATATAGATTATGGAGTATAATTATTGTTAAAATATTCGTTTAGGATTCGTTAAGTATTCGAATATTAATCAAATACAAATTCAATTTTTTAGATACGCCTCATATTTGGATTCGGATTCGGGTTCGAAAAAATTAAACAAATACAAATTCAAATATCTTGATATTCGCTTCGATTTAGTTCGTTTACACCCCTATATTGGAGTCACCAATCTCACCAAACTCCGGTGCGATCATCTAATGTTATACCTCTTCGAGCCTCATCTAATGTGATGCGAAAATTTGTGATTAGTTTCGTGTTAGTTCTCAAATGATCATACATATATTTTATGCCATAGTATTTGAGTAATATACATGTTGCAAATAAATACTTAAATAAATAAATATGGGCAAATATATTCTGATTTGAAATTTATAATCGCGCAGATATACGAAAAATGTCATTTTGAATAAATGGTTTGGAGACTCAACAAAAACAAGCAAATAAACTAGATGGCATTGGGCCAAGCTGCACGAGCAACTGGGCTTTGTAAGAACCAGGCCTGGTTTATTGTTGGGCTGCTTTTCATTGTTAGGTTTAGGCCATGATATGTACTGCAAAATCCATCAGGTCTGTTCGTATATTTTTGTCCCAAAATTTGCATTTTTTATAGTAGTTTTTAATATAACATTTGAATTCCATATAGTTTGAATTGCACAAGAAATTACTCCGTCTGATATTTTTGAATTATTAATATTTTTAAATATAGATAAACACAATAAATATAATAAACAAAATATATTTTAAAATGACATTTTAAAATTAAATTTCAATTTATTTTTTAACCACAAGTATCAAGCTATAAATTAACTTTTAGGACAAAGTATTTAATTGAATATAGGGAAAAAAGATAGACTAAAATATTACGGAGTAGTATACATTTGAAACTTAGTGACATATCGTTGTATTACTTTATCTGTTCTTGAAAACATTCCTGCTCTAACTTTTTACAAAATACTTTGGAAAATGCTAGAGTCAAAAATAAATATTTCACAAACTTTACAAACTTGTCTTTTGTGGATTTTAAATTAAAATATCTTTTGTTATTTAGTACATCTTATTTCTAGAAAAATATTAAAAAGATAAGTTTGTAAATTTTGTAAGTTGTTTGTTTGTGACTCTAGCATTACTCAAATACTCTTGTTCTACCTAAAATGTCTAAAATACCTCCAAAACAACTTCTACATGCATTAAACTACCTAATTGGATGCATTTCAGACATTTTAGGTGAATGTAAAAGTATTTTATAAGGTGCATAAAAAATTAGAGCAAAAGTGTTTTCAAGATCAGGAGTACTAATTATGGATTGTTTTTACGAGTATGTTCACGTCATTTATCGTTGCACAAAATTCTTGTCGTGCATCACACGGGTTAGAATCTAGTATTAAAAAATAGACCATTGATATGATGATATTATAATAATCTCCCAAGCAGGGGCGGCCAGAACAAATAATGGCCACTTAATTATTTATTAGGATGAATACAAAATTCACAATAACTAAAAATACTAAGCTCCAATCTCACATAAATATTCAATGCATACATATATATAAATAACACGCCATTAATAAGTAGTCTACATATGCACTAGAAGCCCTTTCCTCCATATCCAGCATTTCTAAACAGCGTCTGCTTTATTTCTTCTGAACTTAAACATTTCTTTTGCTCCTTTTCCTATCACCATATATAAATTACAAAAAAAAGAGTGTAATTCAGTTGGGGAAGAAGGATTTCTTTCCTTGATGCATATTAATGCAATGAAATAATCTTTAGAATTTTTTTTACCTAATATTGCTATTAATATATTGCATGTATAGTACATTTTTTATATTATTAACACTCGAGGTTTTATATATGCTCTTAGGCTATTATGTATTGCAAAATCCACACATTTGGTGGAGCGGAGTTGGGGTGGGGGTAGGTGGGGGTTTAGGGGGTGGGTTAGGAGATGTATGAACTGTCAAGCGGAGTTGGGGTGGGGGTAGGTGGGGGTTTAGGGGGTGGATTAGGAGATGTATGAACTGTCAATTTTACGAACGCCGGAGTGTCACTGTACTCTGGTGTCACTAGAACCTCACCGATTTGCCATTTGAAATTTAACTAGAATGTAGTTGAAGAGGCTAAGTAGTTGGTCCATTTTTTTTAGGAATATGCTAGGGGTACACCAAAGGTGTACCCCAAATGTACACCACCCCCCCTCTTTACCATTCATTTTATTTTGTTTTTATTTTTTTACTTTTTTTTTGAATTTTTCTTGCCTTTTTTGTATGGTGATGGAGGGGTAGGAGATGTTTGGGGTACACTTTTGGTCTACCCCTAGTATTTTTCTTTTTTTATCCCAAATGTATCATGTGATGTGATACATGATAGGGGTTGGTAACTCCTCCATTTTCCCCATGCTATGTGTGTTCTACTTGAATTGTTTTACAACTTTTATACTAGGGAGTACATTATTCACAAAATAAACTATTTTCTTTTTACTTATTTTCTTAATTATTTATTAAAACAATATAGATACATTATAGACATGAAATCCACAAAAAATCTGTGGTCGCCCTTGTCACAAATGGTTGGAAATTTAGTGACAAAATCTTCAAAATGAGTGAATAATTTGTAGCAAAAATAAAGAAGAAATTACAGCTGTTAAAATTAAAAATTTACCGTGGTGCAAGAGGCCTGCAGAGCAAAGTCATTGAAACAGCTAATGACACAGTGTTGAATCTCAAGGCCCAGAGTCTCCAGAGTGGCGACGGTGGACAGTAACAGACCCGCCCTTCCCCCACAGCATATCTCTATCTTTGCTTCCTTCTCCCCTCTCCTCTCCACTTCAAACTGCAACCCAAAACCCACATTTTTCCATATTTACCCTTTTCTCTATGAAACCAATACAATTTTTAATAAAATACTCACTCCGTCCCAAAAAATATATATTCTTGTTTAATATTTTTGCGCATCCCATAAAACACTTATACCTACATCTAAAATGCCTAAAATTTACCACATTTCTTCTTTATTATGGGTAGATGTTATTTTGGCATTTGAACGAGATATAAGTGTTTTATGGGATGCGTAAGAAATGAAACAGGAACATCTTTTAGGGACGGAGAGAGTAGAACTTATGCATTCGTGGTTTGAGTTGAAAAATAGCATGCCACGCACCATGGGTGGCCCGGAGAGTGTGCAAAGTGGCCAACCGCACAAGGCCCCTAAAATTTTAGGGCCTCATATTTTTAAATTTCTTAATAATTTTAAAGAAAAAGTATTCTAAAAAATAAAATAGGGCCCAAAATGTAAATTTAGGACCATGCCAATTTTATTTTTTCAATTTTCGGGGCCGGCCCTGCCACGCACAATATACTTCATCCTTCCATAAATAAAATTCTCCTTGCGCGTTACGATATTTGAATGGAGTTATTTTTAAATCA